CAGCTTCCTGCCCTCATCCTCAACCATATCCATCCCTCACAACCTTCCCATTTGACTGATGCCTTTTCTTGTCGGACATTTCCTGAGCTTATTACAGAAAATGATGATGGTGCAGGATGGAAACAGACTGCTACCTGAGAAGTCAGCATAGTTTGCAGCAGCCCAGAGTAGAAACAGAAGCAGCATTTCACTGAGTCGAGGGCTGAAACTGGCCAGTGCTGCTTTGAGCAGCATGCCAGACTAATCAGCATTTTTCAAAGACCTGTAACTTAGCCAATTGTAAGGAGATTTCGTTTTGAACAAAAAGTGCCATAGCACTGAGACAGAAACTAGTCCTTTTCCATACATCATCTCCCTACTCTAAAACATTACTGTATCAAAAGTTTCCACACAAAAGTTCATCAGAACACAATAAAATGAGAGAAAAAAAACGCTCATTTTCTTAATGCTTGCTTCTCAGGAATTGTATAGCTGTTAGCTTATTTGTTTTAGCCAAAATTTCTCCCCCAAATGTCCAGCTATGGCAGAAGTCCCAGAGAGAAACACAGCCAAAGTAAAAAGGCAAATTTAACTGAAAGCAGGATCTTCTATCAAAAAGCATCAAATGACTATAATCATATGTCTGTGATTGTCTTTTACACTATACAGACTTAATGAAAAACAACCAAGCATTCCTTTGAGCTGCACAGTTAAAATGTAACGTTTGCCAACACGTTAAGCTGCCAACTATCACCTGCAGCCCCCAAGCACTGAGCAGGAGTGATCCCCTTCAAACGTTACCTGATCACTCCTTATAATGGAAGGAGGAATGGAGAAGAAGTATCCAGCTTTCACCCCTTCCATGGCTACAGATGGCTTCCCATCAAATGCATGAAGCAACACCTTTGAAGCACCTTGGAGAAAAGAAACAAATCAATTTATTAGCAGTGTTTACAGCATGTTCATAATGTCAGCTTCAAACTGGACCTCAACCCCACCAAAGAGTGAATACAGAATCTCTGCACTGCTCTTCACAAGTTTCTTGGGCACAAAATGATAGGAAAGCATTACAAATCTGAAGAAACTATTCTATGAAATTCTGTTGGCAAAAAATAAGAATGGAAAAAATGCATTAGAAACATACCTTGCTCCTTTAAGAGATTAATGGTTGGTCTTCCAGCTGAGCGGGAGTGAACATTTCTGCAAAGGAAAGAGAGAGAGCCCTGACATTAGGAAATTAAGCAACAGTATCTATATTTATTTTTCAGTAAACATAAATCACAGAATCATAGCAGTTGGAAGGGACACCTGTAGGTCATCTAGTCCAGTTCCCTGCTAAAGCAGGCTCTCTAGAGTAGGCTGCAATGAACCAACAGCATGTTGGGAAGAAAACAATCTGTGTTAGCACTTTTACCAGGAAAAAAGTCTAGAGATGTGTATTTAAATCATTTTAGCCACAGTGAATATTTAGCAACAACACTGTGAGGACAGGCTAGAGAACTCCACTGTATTCATGGGCAAAATTTAGTAATTACATCTCAAGCTGGAGACGATCAGGACACTAATACCAGTTTAAGCCATGTAAGTTCAGGAGGCTCTTAGTAATTATAAATCCTGGCAACTATTTACAGAGGTTACTGAGATCTGGAAAACTCTCCTATTAGTAAAACTTACAAAGGCAAATCCAGTTTTCTTGCTAACTCAACCTGCTTGATCAGAACCTGTCTTTGTCCTTCCTTCTGTTCATCCGTGCTGGCAAATCTGGGAGTGAAATCTAATCCAACCTATGGTACAAGAACAAAAGTGAGAAATTGTACAGGTCTAATGCTTGACTAAATCACAGTAGCATAGAGAGAAAAAGAAAAAAAAAGTTTCAAACTTGTAAGGTATTCCAAAACATATTTATGAAAGATGGCAATTAAAAAGGCTGTAGCCACACTGTAGCTTAATTCAGAAAGGAATTCATTCTCAAGATAAGACTTTCAATTATGAAAGCATTTGAGGCTTTAGCATTTTAATCTGTAAGCAGTTTTCTGATTTTTATATACTATTAAATATTATTTCAGATAAAATCTCAAAGCTGGATCTCCAACCTAAGTTGAATTCCAGACTTGAACCTGTAACTTAGTCCTATCTCTAGCAAAAAATTACCCATTAATTTTATAGGTTTTTTTTTATCTAAATACATTCAAGCAGAATTTAAACTTCGTCAAAGAAGCCAAATTCACTGTTATACAAACCGAAAACCTGGTTAAAGTACAGGAACAAAACAGAATTACAGAACATCCTGAGTTGGAAGAGACCCATAAGGATCATTGAGTTCAACTCCTGGCTCCACACATGACAAGTTTAGCCAAGTTCTCTCAACAATTGCCTTTCCTCCAGCAAGTGCAGAAGCAGCCACACACCCCTCTGCTACCAGTATACCAAAGGGACAGACTCTACCCTAAAGTTCTCAAGCTTCTGTTTGTTTATAAGGGAATATAATATAATAGACATTGTGTGAATAGAGACAGACAAGGGATCACAAGAAAAAGGGACTTATGTAAATCACCAAGGCATACTGAAACAGTTAGGCTGGCCTAACTATGCTGCAGAAGGGAGGAAGGACCTGAACAAGGGTAACCATTTCCTAATAACAACATAATGAAGGAAAACAGGGATTTGGGCAAATCTACAAAGGAGAGCACATTAAGAGAATTACAAATTAGATGTGGGTTTTTTTCAAACCACCAGCAATATTTATCACATATACAAAGCCAAGCATTCACTAAGTTTTTGTAACTCTGGTGGCAGATGCTGCCAAAGCCATATACATTTGAACCCATTTTGGAATTCTACTTACTTCTCCAATTGCCACCAACTTATCTTTGTAGAGTTCTATAAGTGGCAATGCTGCATCCAGATCCTGCAAGAACAAAAGCAATCCTCACTGACCTTATGAGGTGGAAGCTTTATAAATGCAGAGTTGTGATTAGTTTGGATTTCCTGGCCACAGGGGCACACTGCTGGCTCACGGCCAACCAAGACCCCCAGATTTATTTGCAAAACTGCTTTCCAGCAGGTCAGCCCCTAACCTGTACTTATGCATACAGTTATTCCCCCATAGGCGCAGGACCCTACACTTGCACTTGTTGAACCTCATCAGGTTCCCCTCTACCCTACTCTCTAGCATGCCCAGGTCTTGCTGAGCGGCAGCACAGCCTTCTGCTGTGTCTGCCACTTCTCCCAACTTTGTACCATCAGCCCTTCCCTTTACTCCTCTTAAATTTTGTACCTTAAACTTGCTATTACTGGAAGTTGAGCCATCAGTGGTATTTCAAAGACCTGCAGGATTTTCCTGCTTTACTCAAAGACTCCTCCTTTCGAGGTGAACTTTCCATAGGACCAGAAGTAGTAACAAAGCCCATAGTCTGGTCATGTTACGTGGCTGCAGACAGTTCTCCAAGCTCCCCAGACTAAGAGCACAAACTGGTATTCTCCCAGTCCCACGCTAACAAAGGGCCATCTGCAAACAAGATGCATTCTGCTCACTGTAAGCAAACTGTTCACTTGGGATTTTTTAGAACTGCTTTCCATCAGCATCACTACTGAGGCCAGATGGCTCTCAGTGCTGCTGAAGTCACACAGGCAGATGCTATGCTAGAGGCCCTGGGGTTTGGTCTGCTGCATCCTCCACTTCACAGAAACACAACTAACTGAAATCAGGCAGACCAGAACAGCTCCCTGCATCTCCAGCACAGCCATAGCATAGAATCACAGAACTGTTTGAGTTGGAAGGGACTCTCAAAGGTCATCCTGTCCTTCCTTATATCCAATCTCAATACAAAACTCCTCTCTTAGTTTAAAACCAAGCCCCCCTGTCCTAACACAACAGACCCTAAGAAAGATTCTGTATCCTTCTTTCTTACAGCCGCCCTCTAGATACTGAAAAGCCGCTCTCAAGTCTCCCTGGAGCCTTCTTTTCTCTGTTCTGAACAGCCCCAGCTCTCTCAGCCTGTTCTTGTATGAGAGATATTACATCCCTTGGATCATTTTTGTGGTTCTCCTCTGGATGCACTCCAACAGGTCCATGTCTCTCCTGTACTGAGGACTCTACATGTGGACACAGTGCTCCAGGTGAGGTCTCACCAGCCAGAGCAGAGGGGCAGGATCACCTCCCTCACACTGCTGGCTGTGCTTCTTTTGGTGCAGCCCAGGATCTGGTTGGCTATCTGGGCTGGGAGGGTGCACTGCTGACTCCTGTCCAGCTTGCCATCCACCGGTGCCCCCAGGTCCTTTTTGACACAGCTGTGCTCCACTCTTACAGCCCCCAGCTTGTACTGACAGCGGGGGCTGCCACGACCCAGGTGCAAGACCTTACAACTTGGATTTGTTAAACCTCATGAGGTTGTCCCGTGCCCTCTGCTCAGCCTGTCCAGGTCTCTGTACGGCACCCCGTCCCTCAGACACGTCCACACAGCAGCACATCACAGCTGCACCAGGCTACCCGCCACTAATTTACCTTCAAAGTAACGCTGCGTTGCTCTTCAGGAGAAACCTCCTGCACGGGGTGAACGCCCAGACACGGCAGCACGAACCCTGGGAACCTAGAACAGAGCGCAGCCCAAGCCAGCCTGACGTGGAACCGAAGGCCGACCGAGCAGCGAGGCGGGCAGCACGGCCACAGCCCCGCCCGGACGCGGACGCCAGGCCGTCGGCTCGCACCTGTCGGACAGCTCCAGCACGCCGCGGAACTCCCCCGCCTGCTCGGTCACCGTCACCAGCGCCGCCACCGCCGCCTGTCACGGCCACAAACAGCGCTGAAGGCCGCGCCGCGCGCCGCACCTGCGGGGCCGCGGGCCGCGCCTCACCTGCCGGGCCGCCCGCACCACGGCCGCCACGTCCTGCAAGACACACGCAGCGCCTCAGCGCCGGGCCGCGCCGCTCCGCTCCCCGCCTGCCCGCCCGCCCCGCGGCGCCTCACCGGCTGGAAGCAGGGCGCGGAGAGGTGGCAGTGACAGTCCACCGGCCCCGCCGCCATGCCGACGCCCCGCGCCCGGCCGCGGCCTCGAGAGGGAAGGGGCGGGGGAGCGGCGGGTTGTGCTTCCGGGCCGGCATTTTCGGTTCGGAGGAGGCGGGAAATGGCGGCCGGGCCGCCCGAGCGGCGGGACGCGCGGGTGCGCTGCTGCTCGCGGCGCGGCCTGGACGAGGTGGTGGGGCTGTGCGCGCCCTTCCTGCGGGACCTGGCGCGGGGGCAGCCGGGCGGCGCCGCAGCCGAGGATGACGCGATCTGGGTACGGCACCGGGACCCCGCGGCGCGGCTGGGGCTGGCCGCTACGGCTCGGTAAAGCGGCATTGCCCGGGGTGCTGGGGCGGGGCTGTCGCTCAAGTACGGTACGCGGTGTCCCGAGCAGAGCAAAGAAGCTGGTGAAGGGCCAGAAAACAGGAGCTGGGGAGTGGCTGAGGAAACTGGGGCCGTTTGGTCTGGAGGAAGTTTTAGTCTGGAGGAGGGGAGACTGAAGGGAGACCTCAGTGCTCTACAGTTGCCTGAAAGGAGGCTGCAGCGAGGAGGGAGCCGGTGACACCGCGAGTGAGTATAGAATCACTCAGGTTGGAAAAGACCTTAAATATCATCGTGTTCAAGGTGATAAGTGATAGTATGTTAGGAAACAGCCTCAAACTGTGCTGAGGAGGTTTAGATTGGATGTCGGGAAGAATTTATTCATAGGAAGAGCTGTCACGCATTGGAACGGGCCTTCAGGGAAGTGTTGGAGTCCCCCTCCCTGGAGATATTTAAGAAACACGTGGACGTGGCACTGAGGGATGTGGCGTAGTGCTGGACTTGGTTGGCAGTGCCAGGTTGATGGTTGGAGCTTCACAATCTTAAGGATTCCATGATTCTTGCCTGCCAAGCCAGGCAGTCATACAGGAAGGGTCCTATGTGCTGATGTTGCACATGTGTGTCTAAAGCATAACTTTTCCAGCCTATGCATCTCTTGCAGAACTTTGAGGCAGCAGTGAGAGAGAATGTTACCATCAATGGGCAGCCCTGGGCAGAGACATCAGCCGACTCTGAACCAAACAGTATGTATGGTCTTTCATTCATTTTTCATGTGTTTATATATTTGGGGTTTTTTTAGATGTGGTATTTTTTTAATTGGGCACTTCTTCCTCTAGTAGCTGTGTGAACAATGACACTCATGAAGCAGGTGAGGTGGAACTCAAGCTTGGCTGCGTCTGTATAAAAAACTGAAGTACTGCATGGCAGGAACATGGTTCTTGCAGAGCACTGTAAGGGAAAAGCAACTAAAAGGTATAGCAACAAGTATCTGTGACAAAACAAAAGGGAAGACAGTTTTATTAGAAGGAGCACTGTTCTGGTTGATGCCTACAGCAAGGTGCTTACAGATAGGCACAATTTTAGCTATCACTATTATGGCACCTAAATAACTTGAAAGGATCTGTTCTTTACTAGAGAAAAGTAGTTTAGAAACACCCACAACATCTGATATTGACATGGGAAAAAACTAAGGTTTAACTAATTTTAATGGCAGCTGTCTTGCTAGAAAGTCTGCAGAAAGCTTTTAGAAAGTTGCTACTCCAAAACATAATTTTTAATTCAGGTTGGGAAAGAGCATGTTCCACTTCAATAATTTTTCTCATAGGAGTAAAGAGAGTATACAAAATCTGATGGACTAGGGCCTGCTGATCTATTTTTAAAGCTAGAATGAAGCAGTAAGATGGATCCAAGTGTGGAGGCTTCAGCTCTACTCTGGGCAGTTACTGGTTGATTGTTTAGATGGTGAAATTCTCCTCCTTGTGGCTACTGGAATTTCCTTTACTGCACCATATCTGTTACCTCTAGTCCTTAAGCTGCACACCTTTGAGAAGAGCCTGCCTCCATCCTCTCTAGAACCACTCTTTAACTAGACAAGGATAACAGATTTCTCCTGTATCTTTCTTTATGCTGAACAAGTTTCTGCATGCTTCTCATACATCATGTACTCCAGATGCCAAGCCTTTTGGTGTTCTGCCGTTATCCAAGCAAAGGTGGAATAGTCTATGTAGGTGGAAATGCTGGCTGGATCATTGAGCTCAGAGGGTTACACTCAATGGCTCGTTCTTTTACCTTGATTACAGGCAGAGATCCTTCTGGGACCTGGGAGGTTTAAAGACTTTTTCTGTGATGTGAAGGAGAAGGCAGAAGGGGCCTTTATCCAATTTGTAGGTGGCATCAACTAGAGTGGGATACACTGAATGAGTCCTGTCCCTGAGGATATTCAGGGGAATATAAACAGGGTGGAGAAATGCATCTGTGGGAATCTCATGAAACTTGACAAGGACAAACAGCAAAACCCAAAACTTGGGAAGAGGTAACATCCTGTGGTGGTACAGGATGAAAAGTACCTAGGGGGTCCAGGTGAGCAAACAGTGAACCACTGTAGCATACTTTTTCAACAGAAGTCTGGTCAGCAGGTCCAGATAAATGATTATTTGGAACCACAAAATTGTTTGGGTCAGAAGGGACTTAAGACTCTCTAGTTCCAACTTTCCTGGCCTGGGCCCAGATACCTCCCCCTAGACCTCACTCTGAGCAGGAGGCTTGAGTCAGAAGAGACCTGAGAACCCTTGCAGGCTGAGTGATTTTGTATGGGTGACACTGACCAACAGCTCATCTCTACCAAGAGACCAAATAGTATGTCTGTTGCTACCATTTAATATGCAAAGTAAGTGCTTATTATTGCTACATAATCATATATTTAGAGGTAGTATATACAGTATAATTATTGCCTTTTTAATAATAACAGGGGAGACTCTTGGTAATCTGGTGTCCAAAGACAATTTGTGCACAAAATGTTTGCTTGCCTATGTTAGTGATAGATTTTTCTTTGCCTGCAACTTGATTTTTGCAGTTCTGTGAAGCCAAAAATACAGTTATATTGAGTTGGCAATGTAGTAATGGCACCCTGGTTTTTGTCTGGAAGCTTCTGCAGCTGTAGATGGAGATCTAGAATGCCAAAGCTCACATACTCTTTTTAATGGCAAGTCTAAAAAAATAAAGAATCCCACCAACTCTCAAAACTTGTTTTTAACTTTCTGAGGTTAATCATCACCTGATTCTGCACTGCTTGACCAAGAGAGGGTGCTCAAAATCCACTTGTTTCCACTAGATTGACAATAATGCATGGCTTGCAAGTTGTGTTCAACATTACTGGAAACTGTGAATGTAAATTCTAAGAAAATTTCAAAATTAAATGTAAAAATTATAAAGAAAGACCACTGTTGGGGTTTTAAGCCTCCACTGATGGAAAAAAGAAATATAGGTGTGCAAATGAAAGAATATAGAATTATGTGCTCTCAGTTATGCAAGATTAGAGTATAACATTGCGCTGTTAATTCTGTTTTCTTCCATAACTCATAATTTTTATGGTCTGTAATGATGGCTTGCGACATCAGGACAGTGCAGGCATTCATTTCTCCAATTGCTGAAAGCACTTATAAAACAGTGTATTAAGCTTTAAAAATGTCGAGTTTAACTGCAGTCTTGGAGAAGCTGAGTCTTGTAGTACAGTAACAGAAGTCAAAATATTTCAGTCATGTTCTACACATTTAACCTAATCTTAATTGGAAAAGAAGGCTGTGAAATTGGCTCCTATGAGATGCAGTGTCTTTGGCATCAGAGTTTGAAAGCAGACTTAATTTTGCTTTTCTGCCTCCTCATGAGGTACATACAGAGTATTTCTGGGAACAAGGTTTCTTTAAGGTGGTGGTACATGTTATCAAAAATGTATGGATTGATTTAATGATTAAAATGTATGTCTGTGTTCTATATGATACAAAGTCAGTTAGCCTTCAGATTACTGCTTGGACAGCTGCATCTTGTTCAGTGCTCATAAATTACACAAAATTAAACAGATCAAATCACTTTTCTTGCAACAGCTTGCATTGTTTCCTTCAATTGAAAAACAAGTTAGCTGAAAGGTAACCACTTCTTTGTGAGTCTTTTGTCTTGGATTCCGAATGCTTAGAGCACTGGCGATTTTTTTTCCCACTAGGAGATCCAGGACAGATGTATTTATCTTCACTGAGAATCATAGAATTGTTCAGGTCTCAAGGAAAAGAAACATTGTAGGTAGGAGTATCATTACAATAACTTTGTTGCATGCTTGCCATGCTTAGGTGCCAACATCAAAATTCTTGAAGATCAGCTTGATGAACTGATAGTAGAGACAGCAACCAAACGTAAGCAGTGGCCTAAGAAGATACTGGTGCATGCTATCCAGACCATGAAAGCAGAGCAAGAGATGTTGGTGAGTAACACAGATGTTCAGAAAAGCTTTGCTTATAGTTGCTGATGTGTGTAATTTGAAGGAACAAATCATCAAATGGTGACCTTTAAATTTCTTCCCACAGTTGCATTTGATTTTCTCATATAATGAAATTTTTTCCTTGCGTGAATTTGCATTAGCTTGTTCTCCAGTAAAATAAGGGTTATTACAAGCTGCTGTGACTACAAATGAATTGGGCCTGTGTTACAGTTGAGCAAATTACTGAGGCACATTTTTTCCCACATGATGATTTGTGCTTTACGAGTCAGTTTCACCCCTATTTATCTTGTAAAATTCAGGTTTCTAAAGTTCTTATCTGAAGGCTGGTTGAAGTACTAAGTGTTACAATACGTGCAGGCATATATATACTACATGTAGTATTTGGCTTTTATTTAAAAGATGTCTAAGTTTTTCCCAAGTACTTCTGTTGAGCCAATAACTACACTGAGTACTTTCAGTAAGGAAAGAAAAAAGGTAGTGTGGATTATGAATAGGTTCATCAATTTCATTTTTTTTGACACTGAATGTAAAGTAATCATTGGCATTAGGCAGCCCAGTCATGTTCCTAGTTGCTAAGTTTCTTTTCTGCAGTTACATTAGGACTCCTTTTTGCTTACTTGCAGGTTAACTAGACATCAGTTTTCTTTCTCTTACTTTGCTACCCTAAAGAGCTGTGAACTTCTCCCCATCTCCTGAAGTATGTTTTTTAAGTGTCCAATTTTTGAATACATTCTTAAACCATCTTGGTTTTCTGGCAGGTTAATGGCTTAATGATAGATGCTTTATTATATGATTTTGGAGAAAAAAAAAAAAACATGTGAATCTTTAGGAGTAAAAGACAGGGGTATCTGGACTATGGTACATTGTTTGAGCCATTTCTGTGTGAGCACGTTTGTGAACAGACTGAAGATATGAACAGATGAAGAAAGAAGAGGACTAGGGAAAATGCTCTCCCTTTCTGAATGGGACTGATGACAAAGCACGTGGAAAAGGCAAGAGATTTAGTCCCTTCTTTGCCTTTGTCTTTCCTGGTAAGATTTGCCTGCAAGAGCCATAGGCTCCCAAGACCTGTGGGAAACAGTCAAACAAGGAAAACGTAACTTGAGGGAATGGTAGAAGAGTGTCAAGTTAGGGACATTTAAAGAAACAGGAGATGCGTTGAATCTATGAGTCTTGATGGGATGTGCCTACAAGTGATGTCATTGCAAGGGCACCAGATAACTATACAGTGAGGCAGATTACAAACTGACCAAAATGCAGACCTCAGGAGTTGTGATCAGCAGTGTGAAGTCTACCTGGAGGCAAGTGTACCCCAGAGGCTGATGCTGGAAGCAGTACTGCTTAACATCTTCATCAGTAACCTGTTTGATAGGACAGAGTGTACCCTCAGTAAGTTTGTAGACAGCACAAAACCGGGACTGATACATTGCGTGGTTGTGCTGCTATTCAGAGGGACCTGGATATGCTGGGGAAATGGGCTGACAGGAAATTCATGAAGCTCAGCAAAAGATAATGTTGGGAGGAGAAATAAGCACATGCACCAGGCCAGGTTTCCCCACAGCTGGAAAGCAGCTTTGCCATACAGGCCCTGACTGACAAGCTGACCGTGAGCCAGAAACGCACCCTTGTGGCAAAGGAAGCCAACAGCCTCTTGAAATGAGTTAGGAAGAGCGCTACCAGCGGGCTGAGGGTGTGATTCTTTCCCTCTTCTCAGTCCTGAGGAGACGCATCAGAAGTACTGAGTGCAGCTCTGGGCTCCTCAGTGTGAGGAAGATGTGCACAAATTGAAAGAAGTCCAGTGATGAGTCATTGGTGTGATGGGACTGTTCAGCCTGGAAGAGAGAAGTCTTGGGTGTATCAGCACTGTGCACAAATATTGCATGCGATAAAAGAGAAGCAGTGTGACCCACGCTCATCTCAGTGTTCAGACAGTGCTCTCAGACATAGGGTTTGAATTTTGGGTGGTCCTGTGTGGAGCCAGGAGCTGCGCTCCATGATCCATGTGGATCCCTTCCAACTCAGGATATTCTGCAATTCTATGAAAATTTGCTATTGCATAATACCAAGATTTAGCAAGACCTTTTGATTGTTTGGAAAAGGAGAGCTATGTTCCGCCTGAATCCTAAAGCAGATGACTTACTTAGGATGCTTCTCAGACTCCTTTATTCTGCAGCTGACCTTCTGTTTTTGTGAATGGTTCCTTAGGAGACAGAGCTGTTCTTTTTCCTCGGTTGTTCAGCAGATGGTAATGGTTCTTCCAGAACATCTGGATTTTAATTTAGAAATTCTCATACTTTAATAATTAGAATTCCATAAACTAAAGGAGATTCTGGAGACGTGTTCTCAAAGAACTTATGTTAATCAGAACATTCTTTCTAGTAGTTGAGTATCTATAAACTAAACATCTAATACACTCTATCTAAATAATTCCACCATCATCTCCTTCTATTAGCCTGTCTCCATTATGCTGCAATGTATGCATTAGATATCTGTTAAAGCAAGGGAGCGTTTCAGATTTTTTCTGTTTTGAATTTGCAGAAGCTCTACCAGCCTGTCGTAACGCCAGAAGAGATTAAATCACAGCCTTCTCAAGGTAAGGATTTCTCAGGGGAGTGCAGCAGTACTGAGGGAACACTGCCTTCCTTACTGCCTAGCAACAAACGTTTAAGAAGTTTTATTTCTTTAAATTTATTTAACTTTATTGACTAAATTAACTAAAATAGTTGGAAGTTTTTTATAATTGAAGTATTGCTGCATTAGCTTATTAATCTGTATGCATTTCTCTTGTTCTGAATGCTCTCTGCTGTTATATGCTGTGCTTAAAGGCAGAAGATGCCACTATGAGGGCACGGAGAAGAAAATGTCAAATATTCACTTTCTCTTACCTCTCTTCACCCTCTATTCTCACCTCTTTACCACTGGTTGGAGGCAAGATGCGGAACTAGATGGACCGCTGACATTATACTTTGGCCATTCTTGTGTTCCTTCCTATATAAATACTAGAAATGCTTCAGTCTCTCTTCCTAATCAGACAGCTTCCTCGGGGAATTGAAAGCTGTCCTGTGGTACTCACTGCTGATAGGGTTGACTCTCCTTACTTGTAAAGCATGTATCAAATTTTAATCTGCTTATATAAAACTGTGAAAGATATCATAAGTTTGCTGCATGCTTTTGAAAGGTTATTCCTTGTTCTGAGGCATTTGTATAAGGTGATGTGTATTTTGTAATAGTAGAATAGGAAGTGCTTTTTCTGTAGCTGCCCTAAAAAAATGCCTTGCCTATTTTTATGTACTGAAAAATGACAGAATTTATGTAGGTTGCTCCATAAATAATGCCTCATAATTGTTTCCATGCAAATTGTAACATACAAAGAGCACGTTAACTCTATTTGATAGAGTAAATTCTTAGCTACAAAACAGTATTTTTCAACAGCCACCAGCGTTAGCTATGCATTTTAGCCAGTGTTGAACAAGAGCCTGAATGTGCACTGGTAAAAAACTGCACCCATGGAAGTAACCCACTGTTTCACAGCTACTATGACAGTGTCATTGCTAGGAAAATGTTGCCCATGCAATCCATCTTTCATTGGCCCAAACGGATGGAAGTCAGAAATCTGAACTATATGGTGTGTGTGGTAGGACAGACCAGTTAAGATTTGGCAGTGTACTCCATGACTTCCAGATTGATATAGGGCCTGGTTTTATTGTGTTGCAAGAGAAAGGTTGCTCTCTTCCCTGTCCCGGCTCTGGAAGTTCAATCTTTTGGCTTAGTCAGCATCAGGATGTAGTCACCAGAGTTGATGGTTTTATCCGGATTCCAGGAAATCCAGAAGGATCACTCTTTTCCTATCTCAAAAGACAGTGCTCATCACTTTACACACTGAGGGCTGCATCTTAACCTTTCTCTTTGCTGGGGAAGTCACGTGTCGCTGCTCCATAGATTGATGTTTTGACTCCAACTCAAGGTGATGACATGATGTCACTGGTAATGATGTGATCCTGGAAACTGTCACCATCAGACTTATATTGCAAATTCAGTAGGTTCTGACAAACTTGCATAGGGTGTTCTTGTGTAGGCATTCATGAGACGCACTTGGTGCAGAATTTGTGATATTCCAATGTTGCCACCATCATATCCAATGCATTGAAGCTGATAGTCAGCTTCGAACAGTTATATTCTATTCTCCAGTTATAATCCAACAATTTGTGTGGATGAGCTGATCTAGGCGCTCTTCATTTCGTGGTGTGACAGCTGTGCATGGTTGTCCAGAACATGGCTTGTATTTCAGGTTGGTGTCACCTCTTCTGAAATGCATCATCCACTTCCTCACTGTGCTCACATCCACTGTCTGGTCTCCATCAACATTCAGCAAACACTGATGAATGTCAATGGATGCCAATTTTTTTCTGCATGGAGGAATTCAGTGACACACCTTTGCTTGATACGCACTCCCATGTCAGATGCCATTTTGTCAGACTGCTCTTCTGCTGCCATCTGTCTCATAGCAATGACATGCAATGGGATGTCAGTGGGAAGGTTCAATCTCTACTGCCATACCACCAACATCTGCCTCTGACATCGCAGGCCAACATCATAAATAGGAGACATTACTTTTGGAGCAGTGTTCATACCAATGCTGTTTTAAGTGGACAAACATGGTGAGAGAACTCTCTATGTGTTACTTTGCATGCTGTAAAGCTGGTGTAACAAGCAGAGGTGTTAAATTAAGTTTGAGAAGCAAGGCTCAGGCTTCCAACTCTCACTCTGCTGATCTGGCTTCACTCTAGGCATCATTTCCTCTTTGTAAACAGGAGATGTTGCTTCCAGAAGTGCCAGCCTGTGCAGCAAAGCAGCTAATAGGAGCAACAAAGAGTGTCACTTCATGTCTGCATTTCTTTTGGTTTCTAGTGTGTAATTCTATGCTCTCCTCTTAAGAATTAAGTACTCACAAGCTAGTAAGAGCTTGCACTATGGCCTTACCTTTTCATGTTAGGTAACAGCAAAGCCTCAGTCAAGACAGCATAGAGTTTGTGCTGAATATTAGTATTATGTAGTATTTGGGAAGTTTATGTATCCCAGTTTAGCAAGTACAGCGGCCAGAAACAAAAAATGTTTAGATTACTCAATACCTTTCATTTCCTCTTTTCATTTCCCTATGTTTTGGAAAGCCTTGAACACTGAGGAATATACTGCTGTCCATGTAAAGCTAAACTCAAGCAGGCAAATTTCATTTAATTGTGTGCCAGTCTTTCTGTATAAATGGAATAATCACTGGAATTATTTTTACTTAACTCCTTCCTTACAACTTCACAGCTTTCTAATCTACATATTCTACTGTAAGAATTCTTCTTTATGGACATGTTCTTTTAGAGAATGTCCATCATAGATGTCTGTGTTGCATTTGAAGAGGCTACTACTTGAATATTTTTTCTTCCGAATTCTGAATGATTGTGCTTTTTAGCATCATATCCATATATGGACTATGTTTCCTAAGCCAAGTTTGATAAGCACTGTTGACACATAGCACACACAGTTTAACAAAACACTGTTTCTTGCTTTGTACTACGTTTCAGCAGTGATTGACTTAATCACTAATTAATGCTTTAGTAGCATTAATTAGATTGACTTCAAAGCAGATTTGTGTTTTGCTCTGAAATGGTTTAGGACTGCGTGCACCATCTGATGTGGTGTTCTTCTGCAGGCATGGTGACACCCTACAGACAAATGCTGGTGGTAGGTGAAACAACTTAGTTCCCAGATGCACATTTACTTAGCTGCTGATTTTAAGTTTTTCTTGATGGTATAGTGCAGGATAATGGCAGAGAGCATGCAAAATAATATATAAAACTTTAAAACTTTATAATAACTTTATAATAACTTTAAAACCTTAACTCCTGAACAGAAGAATTATTATTGTTTGTAAATCAGTCATCAAAAACGTGTATTGTGTCGATGATCATATTGCTACTGCAGTCAACTATTTTCCCCCAGTATTCTGCACTGCTGTCTGCAGCAGTCTTCCTGAAAGCTTATTTTTCTTGCTTTTGTTGTTAACCCAAAAGAATTAGTGCCTTGGTTCGTTTTTACTCCTGCTTGGAAATTAAATCAGAATGAAAAGTAGCGGTTTTTTTGTTTTTTAAGTAAAAGCTGAGTTGTTGCTATCAGGCTGAAGTTCTAAGGCTGAGGATTTTCCCCCTCCATTAAATTATTTTCCTTCATGTAATTTTCTCCATAGTTATGCTTATCCCTTGGAAATTTTTTTCCACAATGTAATGTGAATTTGAAAGATTGAAAAACAGATCTTTTTATTTTTAACCTCCTCCTTTATACACGTACTGTCTCTGTGTCTCATGTCTTGGACAAGCTGTAGGATTTCTAGCAAAGAACTCTGTGGCTTGCAATAGTTGAGACCTCTATGCACTACTGCACTTTGTATGATTAGAAGTAATAAGAGTAAGATGAAGCACATCAGCTGTCATCACCAACACTAATTAAAGAGATATGTTGTATGTTTAATTTTACAGAGGAACTCCACTGCTTTTCATGCCCAGTGTTAAGAAGTCAGTAGCAAGTGTCAGGGAAGGAGGGGAGGAGTTATGTATCAGAAGCTTATTGGAGCTTTATGTTTTTCTTAGATGCTTACATCGCAGATCTGAAGCAGGTGACCGAAATGGCATCCGAGCAGATTGGTGAGGCAATGAAGGTGAGATCTGTGTGTGCTCTAAGGGGATTTTTTTTGTTTCATTTTGTTGTTTTGATAATGTCATGAAATGAGGGTTGTAATTTATCTTGGTTGTAGATTTGTACAAAAAAGCCTGGGTGTACTATTGAAGCAAATACATTTTTAGGTTTGTATTACTGAATTTACATCTGTGAAGAATTCTCCCTCAATTTTAGTAGGAAGGAAGAATACCCTCTGACTTTAGGAAGTATTTCTTACAGAGATTTTAAAATCTGCAACATCTGAAAAATATCTTCTGAAGATAATCTCTGCAGACACTGAAGCTTTTGTGCCCCTCCGAATCTAATTAGCATATCTCCCTCATTGTAACCATTGCTTTTCCCATGTAACTTGAGATTCTTGATTTGTTTTTGCAGTCTCTCCCAGCCCTAATAGAAAGAGCAGAAGGTTTTTCCCAAGCGTTAACTTGGCAACCAACCTTGGAACTCTGCAAACTGCGTCAAGAAGTCTTCACTGGTTGTAATGCAAAGGAAGAAAATAGTGTCCAAAACTTTGTATCACCAGCAGAAGTCACACCAACAGATGCTGATACCACTAACAATCCTTACACTTTGTTCAAAAGAAAAAAAGCTGCAGATACACCACAGAGAAGATACTATCCACTTCGACGGAGGAAAATTACCCTCAGCACATAGATTTCTCACTTGGAATTTCAAGATAGGAGATTCAGAAATATTCTTGTTCAGTGTATTCAGTTTAAAAAAAAAAACAACAACAACAACAAAAAACTTATTCTACTCTCTAATTCCGTGCTATACAAGGGAGCTTCCTTGATTATTTAGTCTTTTGATTCTTTTAAGTATTTCTCTTCTTACTGTTACACTGGTGGTATTATGAAAGCCTATATGTACCAGTCACTCCTGATATCCAGCAAGTATGTTTACTGATTAACTCTCTTCTTTTGCCCATTTATTACAGCATTTATTACCCTCAGCCTTCATGCTTCTCAGAGCTGTGCAAATGCTTTATGTGTGTGGGCGCTCCTTTGGTAAACTACTAAGTGCTCATATACAGCAGGCACATCTCTGAAGATATTGGAGAATGTCTAATTCTCCTTCTCATTTATACTGATTTTGGATATTTAATAAATAAATTTAAAATACTTTCAGACTGGAGCATATGAAACCCACCAATTTTAGTACAGTGTTTTAGTTTTTAGAAAATCCAAGTGCAAATCTAAAATTGATCCCCCCTCTTCCACCCCATAGGTAATCTAGATCAGCAGGGCTCATTAACAGTCATCTTGATTTGAACTTGGAATTTTAATAATTATATGCATTTCCCTGCAGAATGCTCTTCTGCACAGTGATTCAACCATCTGCATTTTACCATCTGATATTTCAGTTTGTGTAACTGATCTATGCAATCTGGGGGTTTCCTGGACAATAGATCTACACATTACAGGATCTCGACTTGGCCATGCGTTTGTGGCATTTGACTAAACTTACAAAAAAAATCTAAAACAGTAGAAATTAACAGTAAATGGGATTAAATTGAGCTAGCATTTTTTTTTATAAGCACAGTAGTACCTAGACATTTACATAGTAGTATTAAATTAAGCATTGTGCCTTAGCCACTGAAAACTTTTTCCAGCTTATGACTGCATACGCTTACAGTAAGCACTTGTGTCTAACCAATATGTCATGTATTCCCTCCCGCAGTACATAGAGGATGATTTGGAAGCTTTGCTAATGGAATGTAGCGTAGTGAGAAGGCAGGTGCGGCTTGATGTCTAGAGACTGACAGTTTTCAAGGAAATGCGTGACAGATTGTAGCGTCATTTATGTTGTGAAGGTGAGCACCTGTACTAAGGCTGTGTATATTTAATCGTATGTAAATATTTCCTATCACTTTTGTATATACAAGCTCCTGTTTTTATACAAAGTAAATTAAATCAACTAAGAAAGATCAAAGATCTGGATAATGTCTGTCTTAGTCCTGCAATACATGTTGACTGAACAGTTAGTGTATTAGCGCTTTAGAAGACATCTGTGTTAAATTTTGGCTGGAGTAACTGAAGTAGTTCCATTTACTGCCTTTGAACTTACGACTGCTATTAATCACAAGGCTACAAAGCCTCTAACATAAGAGAGGACAGGATGTGAGAGGGACTGGAATTGCAAAGCTGTGGAACGTGTGACCGGGATGGTTTTTCGTACAGTGAATTCTGGTTTGTTTGAGTGTGTGTGTTCTGGTTGAAAATCCCCACTGTTGCACAAATGCATACAACTTCAACAAGCACTGCAGGATTTTGCATGTCTACTATTAAAGTATTTAAATATTTTTATGTTAATAGAAATATGTATATCTCTTTCAAGAGATCCCATCTAAAATGACCAACATAAGACAAATGTCTTAGAAAATAAGGAGAGTGAGCAGTGTGGATTAAGGGCTAGTAAGTGAATTAATGACTTCATCCTACGGTGCCTGTTAGAGGTAAGAGACTGCATGGTAGTCGGTCTGCATGGGGTTTGAAAGAAGTGGGAATGGATGTCTACTGCCCTGATCTAGGGCAGCCAGGCCTGGTTCCGTGGCCCCCCTTTTAATCACAGCTGGATAGAAAAAGAAAACTGCATCTGGAAATGTTGCCCAAATAACTGATATAAAGAAGAATAAAGAAAACCAGTTGATGTCCAGTGTATCAGCTATGAATTTACAAATTCATAGTGGCTGCTTTTGGCCATGCAGCAGTGGAAGATATCAGAGGACCTCTCTTGAAATGAAAGCTAAGTGATGAACTGAACTTTATGCTTGAATGTTCATTTGCTTTCCCAATGATTATTAAAAATTTCTACGGCAATTGATATTTCCAACTAGCTGTGTCTGCAATCTGTATTTCCACTAACAGAAATACATAAAATATTCCTCTTCTTCCCCACCACCCACCCCCCCCCTTCCGGTAGCCTTTTGTCCTTCAGTTAACTTCATAGAAATCAGCAGTGTTGTGCAAGAAGACTGTCTATTCAGGTTTCCACTGAAATGTCACAACATCCAAGCTTCTTATTTTTAACTTGGGGTGAATTGGTATTGCATCAAGAAACGTCTGGTCATTTTTCTTTATATAGCCTTTGAATTTTGTAAGGCAGCTCAATGGCGAAGGATGCTTGGGAATATTTGCAAACTTAGTTTGAATTTTGCAGTTATTTGGGGTGAGATTAAGCATCTTACCGTTTTTGAAGACGTGCTGCCAAAGGTGTGCATGTTGCCAAGTGAGGCATCTGTACCCAGGGAAATCTTACAAATCGGCATTGCATCCACATACTCTTACTGCATGTAGTTTTTAAACAGAGGTGATGACACCCCTCTTCCAGAAATCTTCGTGCAAACACCAACATCTGTTTGAAAGTTTGGGTATGTGGTGCTCTGGGACCCAGTTGTGACATACGCCACGCTTCCAAAGAGCCATGCTAAGTTAAAGTTAAAGACAGCGACTCCAGTTTGAAGGCGCGTGGGCTGCTTCAGTGCAGACAAATGTTACTGATATGCTGCGATTATAAAATGTAAGTTCAGCAGCTTAGACTGCTTTCTGGGCTTATTTTCTCTCCTGCATAGAAATGCTCTGCCCTTACTGCTGTGTTACTTGGAACTACTGTGTAGGCATTTCTACAGATGTACCAGAGATAGCTTTAATACCAAGCAGAAATTTGTTCCTACAAGCACATTTTGATTTTTCATTTCCTTTGCCACTATGAGCACCAGTAGACTATAGCCAGGCCCAGGGGGACCTCCCTGTGACCTGTCACTCCTTGTGGGGTTCTGTAAACCTCACTTTACAAATACAGGAGGAATTCATACCAATAAATTACGCCTATCAATAAACTCTTGGAAAACTTGTTGTGACTTAGCTTTGTTAGATCACCTGCTTGTGCAGCTGCTTCTAGGGCATGTATGTATGGTTCCTGTAACAGCATGAACACTCCATTTGGGATCATTTCAAAGCCTCAGTTGTAGGAAGGGGGCTTTTTTCTTCTCCGAACACAAATCTGCAAGCCTTCCCCACAAAAAGGGCCACTGGGACCAACAGCCACAATGGTCCCTTTGGCTCCTTTGCTGAAGTGCCTTGACTCTGTGTACGTCCCGCAACTGCGTTGGATCCACCAAGTATCTTTGAAAACAGTTCTGAGGTTTAGTCCTCCGTGGTCCAAGAAGCTCTGGGAAAGGCGAAGGCAGTGCAGGAGACAGAGGCAGGAGGTGCTGTGAGGTGCAGTGGGGAGAAGAGTTTCCCCACAGGGCTGCCCTGGTCAGGCTTTCAGTGATGCTGACCTCAGCCTGACTCCTGGTCTCCGGGCAGGGCGCTTCTCCTCCCATCAGCGTGAACTGTCAAGCAGATCTTCCTGGAAGGATGATCTATATTTACTCCATTTGCAGCCTGCAACTTCATTTTCACCTAAGCTGAATGACTCAGACTTCGGGTGAAACGAGAAGAATAGGGAAGTGGCCGATTTATGAAGATACCTGGGGTTGATGACCGACTGTACGGCAGCGTAGGGGCACGTTCCCTAGCAGGGACGTGCGGTTATCCCCCTGAGTCGCGCGTTTGTGGTGCTGTACGCGCACACGCCGCAGAAAGGATGTCGCCGGCTATCTGCGGGGGCACACAGCAATTCACTTCCTTCAGAGCACAGGGAGAAGATACGCTTCAGTTGCGACGTAGGAAGAGTGTTTAGAAGGATAAAAGAAGCATTGTTCAGGCTGCTAAAATGTTCCCGGCAGAGCGTTCGAACAGAGAGAGTTCTGTCCCGGCAATTGCGTTTTCTGCGCTCATTGTCTTGCTTCGCCTTTACAAGAAACGTGCGGCATTTCCTTATTATTTAAAGGAACCGGGCGAGTAGCGAAAGTGAAAATCGCTTTATCCCAGCCCCGATGCCTTGTCCTCACTCCAATGAACCCCGCCTTGCGCTCCTGTCCATTCTCCGAGGTCGTGCCGCTTTGGAAAGCCGATGTCGCACGTGTTCCGCGGCCAGGAGTACGCGGGGGTGAGTCAGCCGCGCACCCCACGGGCGGTTTTTGCGCGGCATTTGAGCGGGATTCGCGCAGATGCCGCGCAAAAGCCCCTCGGAGGCAGCGCTCGGGCCAGGACGGCGTTTTAACCATCGGAGGGGCGGCAGGCGCGCCCAGCCCCGGGGCTCTCCGGGGGATTTTCGTGCGGCTCCTGCCCGGCAGCGCCGCGCCACGGGGGCCGCGGGCTTCCCCCCGGCTGCCGGGGGCCGGTCGGGCCGGGGCGCGGACCCCGCGGGCGCCACGTGAGCTCCGGGCGGCTCCGCCCCGGGGGCCGCGGCCGGGGCCCCCAGGTGCCGGGGCGGGGCGGGGCGGGGGACGGCTCCGTACCGCGGGGCCGGGGGAGCCCAGCGGCGCCGAGCGCGGCGCCCCGGCGCGGGCGGCAGCGGCGGGATGTCGTGCGGCGCCCCGGCGGCGGGCAGCGCGGTGCCGCGGAGCGCCGAAGGCGGCCAGCAGGTAGGGTAGGGGCGGGTAAGGGGCGGGTAGGGGAGAGCGGGACGGCCGGGGGGCTCTACCGAGGTTGGGTGCGGGAGGTAGGGGCTGGCTGCCGGCGGCGGCTCGGTGTGTGCGCCCGCACCTTGACGCCTAGCGAGCTGCTTCTGTCTTTCAGAGCCACGAAGAAGATGATAAGAAGGTAAGGAGGAGAGAGAAGAACCGAGTTGCTGCACAGAGAAGTCGGAAGAAGCAAACGCAGAAAGCAGACAAACTTCACGAGGTGAGCGGCTACGCGGTGCTCTTGGGCGTGGAGTGCGGGACGCTCCAATAACGGGACGCCTTCGGCACGCCCGGGCCTGCCCTCGTGCCGATACCGCCCGGAGCCGTCGGTCAGGAGAGGCGGGCGCTGCCGGCTGCCCGCTCCAGAGCTACCCGGCGCTCTGCTCAGGTGGGGTGAAGCATCTCTGCCATCTGTGACACCGGGAAGGAGGCAGGCACGCGGTCGTGCCTGCTACTCCCATCCCTGTGACCACCTGCAGGCTGGATCTCTGGCTTCTGAGGGCTAAAGCAAACCCGCTTTCTGATGCATTAGTGCTGAACCCGGAGAGCTCGCAGTGGCAGTGTGTGAATGCCTTGCAGGGAAGGTGGCGGTGCCGTGCGGGGTCATGCTGCTCAGTGGCACTGCTGGCTTAACTCAATTCTGAAGCTGTGGTCTGAGACAGAAATACCCCGTTGAAAAGGCTTCTTAGGAACTCCAAAACCTCCAAACAAGAGAGCTGGGTGCAGTTACTGCTGTACTTGTGTGCTCTGATAAATAGCAGTGGGTGTTTCCAAAAAACCATAAAAGTATCTGATTCTTCCAGAAACTCTTAACGCTTCTCAATATTACAGTGCAGTGGAGTTTTATCATGTCCCCATTGCAAACACTGGAGGAGAAGAATTGTCGTTCTCTAGTTCAGGACGTTTCCTCACACAGCAGTGCTTTAGTTGCAGCTAGGGCTCAGCAGGTAGGTGTTGGTTACGCTGCCACAGTTGTGGCTTTGTCGGTTGCTCAGCTCTGGAGGCTCAGCACAGCCTCTTGTCTCTCTTAGGGTGGAAGGATCAGGCAGCAGAGGCCGGGAGATGTGAGGTGGAGAGCCTGGGGTTTGGTTTTTCCCAGATCTCCTCTGAGTCAGCACCCGAGACAGCCAGGTGCTGGTGTTTCTGTACAGGGGTAACCCCTGGCTTTTTTGGAGTCACTGCTGGGCCCTGCGCTGTCCCACAGTCAGTCTGGTGTTCCTGCTGGACTGGAAGCTCTTCCTCATGTTGGGAATCCACATACTCAGATCTGCAGGCAGATCTGGTTGAAGGCATTCTTCCCTAGTAAGAACAGTTTGGTATTTTCTCCCCTGAAAATGGAACAGAACAACTGGAGAGCGACGCTTGTTCCATGGACTTGAGGCACCGAGAGCAGAGTCAGAGCTGGGGATGCTGAGCCCTGCTGGAGTTTGGCTACAATGATGTGTTGGGAGGATTGTGTCTATTTTACTTTGTGTGTGTGTGTGCTGGAAGAGTGTGAGGAAGAGCAAGGGGATACAAACTGCCACAGCAAGGAAGGGTGGCATACATAGCATGAGGCTGCCCGGAGGAGCAGTGCACGAGAGGCATTCCCCTCAGCCCTCTGAGGGCACGTGTCGGCTTTGAAGTTTGCTCTGCAGCTTTCCCCAGGAGGTGAGATCGAGTGGGCGAGTGCTGAGCCCCAGGCCAGCAGTGAGGTGCGGACACCTGCGGGTTTTCCGTGGGCTGGCTCTAAACCTCGAGCTCTCTTCTTTTTGGGATGAGAAATCTTGGTGGCAGGGACACTTGAGACCTGCAGTCAGCAAAAAATGTGACATGTGAGTCTCACATCCGTCACAGGTGCTTGCTGCAGAGTATCTTAAAACTCTCCTGCAATTATCAAAAGATCATTGTCGGTGAAGCCCTGGTTCAAAAGCATCTTGGGATCACGATAACCAAGGCAGTGGTTGAAATTGCTTGTGACAAAGTGGGGCTTGGCATCAAGCTGGCACGATGCTCAGCTCTTCCTGCTTCTAAGTTCCTGAGCATTTGAACAGCTGACTGCAAACCATGGGCTGGAGGAGAGCAGCTGGCACCAGGCATGTGGTGCCAAGTGTGACGCCCAGCTGGTGCTCTTCCCCACTTTGGCTTGAGGCAGGGCACTTCTTTCCTACAGTTACATGAACATACTCAAGGTGGAGCACTGAAAAGAATGTTTTGCCTATGAGTAAGCTTTTTTTCCCCTCCTTTCAGGAATATGAATCTCTTGAGCAAGAAAATACCTCCCTGAAAAAAGAAATCGGAAAGCTAACAGATGAAATGAAACACTTGAGTGAAGTTTTGAAGGATCACGAAAAGATCTGTCCACTATTGCACTGCACCATGAACTTTGTAACCGTACCAAGGCCTGATGCACTCAGCAGCTGCCTGCCCAGATGAGACATCTCCTCAACCGTTGTTGTGTGATGTGTGAAAGTGCCAGTAAAATGGGAGATGTGAAGAACTGCCTGCTTAAGGTGCAGATCTACCCTTGAACAGGGCCGGACTTGCCCACACAGCTGTTCTCCACGTGTTTCAGTTTTCTGAATCTCAGGAAAGCATCAGTATAGGAAAAAAGACAGCTTGAACTACGACTCCTTTCTTTGGTAGAATCTCCAAGCCATGGTTTTGCGTTCAGAAATATCACGGTGCAATGCAGCCCGCCATCGCTCAATGGAATGTAGACCGGGAAAAGTACCAGCCTTGGGCTGAGATGCCTTTCTCCCACACGCTCACCACTAGCAACCCTTTGTCAGTTGTCATCCTTTTGTATCAGATTCTGGCTGCTGTTTTGGGTTTTTTTTGGTGTTGTTTGTTCCTCTAAACAGATTTGGCTAATAAAAAAACAATAGTGATGTTCTGTCTTTATGGTGTTCTCCACCTTCTTCAGTATCCAATGTCCTTACAGCATCTCTCCTCTTTGTTTGCTGGCCAAATCCAAAGTCTAATGGTAATCTTCCTGTCAGTTGTTTTATTGCTTGCTTATCACTACTTCATTAGTCCTCCTTTTCAAATGCATGTAACAATAATTTTTCCCAGTCTTCATTTCTTTACTATTCCAAATCATCAGCTCTGTCAACGTCAATACTAAAAATGTTTTCTATCTCAAAATATGGCTCAGCCAACTTCCAGTAATGACTGCCTGCTTTGTATGGAGGAAAAGCAAAACAGTTTGCTTGTTTTATACATTGTTTTAAAGAGCAGATTTTAAAATGTATTGGTTTAATGCACCACACCAGTGGAAATGAACTGGAGGGTTATTTGCGATTGAGGGAATTGTTTGGATTTTTTTGGTGATGCAGTATCTTTATCCTTTATCTTGAATATTGCTTCTGCTAAGTGATAGAATAAGTCAGGCTGAACGATTAGTTCCCATGTCCACATGGCATGATTTATTGCAAGAAAAACATTATTTTATTTCATCTTCAACTTTTTTTTTTTTTTTTTAACAGAAAGAATAATTATGACAACATTAGTGAGAAATATACAGAAAAATGTGCTTACTTCCTCTGAAGTTTCATAGAAGTGCCAAGCTCTAGAAATGTAAATGCTCTAGCCTGGTGTCCAGCAAGGAGTTTTTTTCACAGTGCTTCCCAGTGAAAGAACATCTTCAGATAATAAAAGACTCCATCCATTTGCCAACTCTCTCACTTTGGCATTCCTATTTTTTCACCTTAGCTTAGGAGATCAGTTTATCCACTCAGCTGGATCTGTATGTTTATCAGCAGAACATCATGTGAAAAGTCTAAAATATTTATTTCTTTTTTAGTTTTACCAGTTTAATTATGCATTACTGATCACTGCCAAGATAGAATTGGGGAAACTGTGTAGTCAATTCTCTGTCTTCCAAAGTACCCTCTCATGCTATTGTCTTAGGCTAGAAACTCAAGGTCAACAGGAGGAGAGAGCCTTTGGCTTCTTCAGAAGTTTGCATTAGGTTGTTCCCAAGAGAATTTTCAGTGTTTGCAGAAGCCACCTACAGCCTAAATGTGGTGTTCAAAAAGTTTCTTACGGTCCTGTAAAAACTGAGTCATCATGCAAAGTAAATCAGGTGCACTCCTGACAAGGAAAATGAAAGCTTCAGGACACTTTGCAATATGCTTTTTGGATACTGTCCTTGATAGGATCCTTTCTGTCACCCTTAAGAAAGGAAGTTATCTTGAGTATCTTCATCCACCCACCCACGTTCCTTCCTCCCCTGAATGCCGCAGTGTAATTCAGGCTGAGTAGAGGTGTAATGGAGAAGGTTGAACATATTGGAGATGAACAGCATTCACTCTGCAAAAATTCATTATAGCTTAGGATGGTTGGAGACTGAAATTACATTTTACATCTTTTAAGTATATAGATGTAGCTGAGCTGAGGCTGGAATGAAGAAGAGCTAGCTGAGGTCAGGGGTGAGGCAAAAGCCTCTCTCCTGTGTGGCTTCAGGAATTGGAGAAAAGTTCAGCCACCTTGTCCAAGATAGTCTTGCATTAGGTTGTTCCTAATGAAGATGCGAGCAGAACTCTCCTAACGATTCTGTCCCACAGGTACTTTCTTCTAGAAGGAAAGATCTAGTCACCTGCATAAAATCCTCCTCTTTATGCACTTACTCATGTAAATATCTGCCCAGAAAATGGCTCCAGATTTTCAGTAGTTCAAAATCTATTCAACATTCCTCAACTGTAAGCAGTAATACTGTTCTGCTGTGCAAACTTAATCCAGTTTCTGCACTGAAATTTATTGGCTTATTAATTATGTAATGTCTGAGCAGAGTGTAGAATGAAAGACAGCTGAATTTACAGCAATGTTGTGTGCTTGCCACAGCAACCTAAGCCCAAGGTTGTGCTGCTCTTCCCTGGAAGAGCTGGGAGCCCCACTGGGTCCTTGTGGTCTCAAGTTCTTTCCCACAACCAGGTGTATCTCCAGCCTGTGCATTGGGTCTGTGAGTAACAGCAGATTTTGAACCATCAGGACCAGGGCTGCTTCTTTCTCCTTTATTTATTGCATTACTATTTCCCAGCACTATTACTGAAGTGTTGTGCATAATTCTTCTGTTAAATACTTTAATCAAGGCATCTACTGCAGTGTTTTGTATGAATAAAGTTCACAGGCAGCTGAGAACCCTAAGCAAAAGAAGTGAGCAAAATGAGTGTCCCAAGCTAAATAAATCCAACCTACTGATATATTCGCAGAATTAATGTTGTTGCTGAATCATGTATTGAAAGGAACAACATTAAAGCACTGGCTTATGTATTGCTAACAAAATCATATGTATCCAGATTGATCGCACTATTTGCAGGAGCTCTTCACAAGGATATTGATTTACAGAGAGTTTTAAAACTGAAAGTATGTTCTGGAGCCTGGGATAATTGTAATGTGAATAGGGAACCAGAAAGGAGAACAGAAAGGAAAAGACCCATTTATTAAGGAAGCAACAGAAAGTTCTTTATCAGATTCAGACCTCTCCTTTCGCAGCAGGGTATTACGCCATCAGAAAAAAAAATGTTTCATACCTATAAATGGCTAAAAACGTGCTTGACGTATTCTAGCTGTAAAAAGCTATATCCTATGAATGTTCCTACTTTCAGTGAAATCAGAGTAGAACCCACGTATCTGCAATTAACTAATCCAAATTCTTTCACTCCTTTGCAGATGGGTGCCCACACCAGATGATGTGTGTACATTACACTTACATTATATTCTGATGAAGGTACATAGTGAAGATCTTTTCTATGTTCAGATGGTGATTCACGTAAGGAGTACTATGACCTGCAGTCTTGTTTGTTCATACAAAATATACATGAAGGCTGCCAAGCAAGTTTGGGATTTTCCCTTTTATGTTCACAATGAAGGTTATAGTTTGTCTACGTTTGGTTAGCATGGATTTCCTCTTTTCTTTGAGTCTAATGCAAAATCAAAATGCTTGGTTCAAACTTACACAAAGATACAAATATTCTATTCAGTAGCAGATGGAGCCCAATTTGGGTATTTGTCCATTCATTTATTTCAGATAATGTTGGGTCAAATTTAAATTGATCATATTTTTTAAAGATAATTCTAGCTTTCAAAGATAAAAAAAAATCAACAGAAAGACAAAATCAAGCTTCCCATAATGTCTACGGTGTAACAGAGATCAAATATTATACCTGAAGAGAGTTAATTAGAGAAAAAGTCCTACTTCTGCTTGATGTTTTGTATGAATGTCTGTGAATGTTTACAGTCATCTTCATGTAGTCATCCCAAGCCCTACAAAAAGTACACCCTTTTTAAAGAACACAATTAAAACAGCCTATTCTACAGCCACCACATCTTTCTGTTCTTTCTCCGTTGTCTGCTTGTTCTTTCTATAATAGTTGCTGGTCTCCCCTGCATTTGTTGCTATTTGCAATAGCCCATGTATTCTCCTGTTATATAATTTGAGATGCTGCTTTTTATTCCCCCTCCTTCCCTTGCTTCCCTTCTGTTCTTATGTGGTTTGGTGACAACACTGCTAAATGTTTTAAGTATTATAGTAGCAAGTCTAATCTACAGGAGTAATAAATTGAACTTTCTTGGCACACCCTATATATGATTAAAGTATACTATGTGTGGCTAGCTTTATCAGCTAAATATTAAGGAAGGTGTCTGTGCAGACTTTTAAAGTATACTTAGAAGTGACATAACCTTGACTGTAGCCTATAAAACCATACTATTTCCTGTCCATAGATGAACGCTTTGCTGCATGGTGTTTGGGGTTTCCATTTGTGAATCAGTCTAGAATTTCTGCTTCAGTGAAAGTGATAGATAAAACAACCATTAAAAAAAAAATCCCTTTACTCTTCTTCCCATCAGTGTGGTGATATAATTCATGACACAGGAAGGAAGCATGTCTGATAAGCAGGAGAAGCAGTGGGTTTACTTACTGTTACAGAGACTAATGATACTCTCTTAACAGGAAGGCTAGGAGTTGTCTGTTAGTAAACCTGCGGTTGCTGTCAAGTGGTCACTGGAGAAAGATTTTACATTTACACACATCATCTGGTGTGGGCACCCATCTGCAAAGGAGTGAAAGAATTGGGTTAGTTAATTGCAGATACGTGGGTTCTACACTGATTTCACTGGAAGTAGGAACATTCCTACAGCTGCCCCGAGGACATGTGGCACTAAGTTTAGTAACTCAGGTAATATTTAACTAAAGAACAGTTAAAGACTAACTTAAAGTGGGTCATTGTTAATAAGGAAACCATTGTAGTAATCATCCCTGAAACTGCATTCTTCTTTTTTGCTACTTATTCAGTTTTTATTTGTTTTTGTTTGTTTGTTTGTTTTCCCTAGATAGTTGCTGTGGAAAAAATCCCTAAGAATTTAGTAGAATTTTAAACTATGACATGAAAAGTAAAGGCTTGCCTAGTCTGGAAATAGCTGGCACAGCTTTTGCAAATACTCTGTTCTCTACTAGCTATGTGTTCATTCTCTCTAAGGGTATCACTATTGTTCTCTTTGGAAGTGGATTAGCTAAACCACAAATGGCTCTTTTGACATAGAATGAAAAAGTTCATTTGGAGAGTTGGTACAGAATGACTACTGCTTCAATTTCACATCTTTTCTTATCCTTAAGCAGCTTCTACATGTAGCCAAATAGAAAATGATACACTTAATAGATGTTTTTGCTTTAAGTCTGCATTAGAAGAGTTTTGTATCCATATGGTAAGTTCTATAGATTGCCATTATAACTTTTTATACTCATTTATGTACTGTCCAGTTAAGTCTGCTACAGAACTGTCTCAAAACTCAGTTCTGGATAGATGTGTCTAGTGGGGCAAAAAAGAAGTCAAATGACATCTTACGTGTGTTATAATGGGGTTATTTCTTTACGTGTGTATTTGTGTTCTTTAAAAGAGAAACTTCCAGGGAAGAGCCTGATAAAACCTCACTGGGAATCCTGCATATATTTCTGCTGCATCATGATAAAGAAAGATGAATCAAAACTAAACAAGTACATACAAGGGCTGCTAGGAAAAAATAAGATAACGACTTTTTTAAAAATTTGTTTCAGCTTGTTAGGCAAATAAAGTCTGAGAAATAGTAGGATTGTTGTTTATGTAATTATCATGAAATAAAGAAGATGGCAGGGAAAGAAGTATTCTAGATAAGTGATAGGGGTTGTAGAAACTAAATAGGAGTAATTTGTATATATTTTTGAGCTGCATATGTTCAGAAGTTTCAGCTTGTAAGAAGGAGGTTCAGGAATAGCTTTCCAACAGAAATAGTGTGTGAGCAATGCCACAGGTAAACAGGTACACATGCAACCTATGGATGAAAACTGACTGACCACTGGTGTATTCTGGTGATCTAAAATATTTCCTCCTGTTTCACGTACTTATTTTCTTTAGAAAAGATTTGAAGTTGTTCTTAAAAAGTAAGATTTTTAAAAAGTTCTTAAAAAGTAAGTATTCAGTAAATAAATTAAACAAACAAACAAACAAACAAAAAACAGAACAAACAAACCCAAGCAATCCCTGAGGTTCCTGTATCTCACCTCATTACCTAGCAGCTCATTCAGTCAGGAGAGCTAACACAGGTGTTACGTTATGGCAGAAGAAGTACTATCTCTTGTCAAAGTAAAGAACTGATTAAAGTAGGAAACGAGCAGAAAAGAGAGGGATTTTTTTTCCCTCATTGTTTCTGTCGAGCAGTTCTAGAACAATCAGAAAACTCTTCACAGAAAAGCAGAAACAAATAAAAAAAGAATGTGGGAAATTTCCCAAACTGTTTAGTTGTTTAAAAGCTGAGTTACTCCAGCTTTAAGAATACGTATTTGACAGAAGTTTGCAGGAAATTTTTGTTTCTCTCACATGCAGTTCATTGATTAAATATATAAACAGGATGTCTATAAGGGCAGAAAGTTTTAAAACAGGATTTGATACTAAGCAAGAGAGCTGCTAGTTCCCTTTTAGCTATTTGAGTTTCATCTTTGCTTATCAGAGCTGTTTTAAGGCACAGTAATTTCCAAGTGCACTACTGGGTTGTGAGGTAAATAATCTCTAGAGATGAATTTATTATTTTTTTTTTACTGTAAATGACAATAGTACACAGGGCTACAAATTTCCCTTGTAAATTCTGACCATCCCATTTGTTTTCAAAGTTCCAGTACGGACTCAGGACCTCTTCTGCTAGTGCACTAAGATGTGTGCTCATGCCTTTGTAGAAGAACATGATCCATCAGCTGTGTATAAGGGCTTGATTAACATCCAAGAGCTGTGGAATTTGAAAGAGCCCTTTTAATCAAACAAGTGAAGTGAAGAAACTGCTTATATATTCTTTCTATAAGAACAGAAGCCCAGTTCTCAAGGCTAACAAAATACTGAGAGAGCCTGCCTTGGTTTGGACCATTGTTCTGTTGGTTGTTTCACACTTTTCCAGTCTGGAGTTTCAGGTAACATGGGGAATCTTGGAGAGTCAGTGAAGTCAGCCCAGGCAGAGCAGCTTGCAGCTGTGTAAGTATGAACAGAGGTACAGGTGACTGAGTGTTGTTAACATGAAGCTATGTGATAACTCCAGCTTTTCATTGGCTGCTTTAAATGACATTCATGTGTGCAAACACCTGTATTTTTTACTACTCTGTTAAGAAACTGTGTCATCAAAACACTTTCCCTATGAATTGTTAGATTACCAAGTTTTATATCAGTCCCCTATATTGTAATATTCTACTTAATTCACATGAAAAGCTATTTCTACAGTATTTCACTAACTGGTTTTGCATCAGTGTTCCTTTCCATATATTTTCTTTACATTTCCAACTAGAAATGGTCACTATCTTTAAAATTCAGAAAACAATACACAATTATCTAAAAATAGGTAACTGCTTTTATTTCAAGTTGTAACTTTTATAATGGTTAAGAAAAATGAAATTATTTTACTCTTTAAACATCAGCTATACGTGTTAAAATATGTATAATGTGTTTTCATTTTCAATTTCACTTTTAGTACAGTATCTGACATCAGATTCTATGGAAAGACTTTTATCTGTCTCGTTTTCTTGATTTGCTCTCACAAACTGGGAGAATATATTATTACAAATGACAACACAAGGATATCAAACTGTTAAATGATTTCTTGATAAAAATCCCATTGCACAATCTGTATACTTGTTCAATACCTGAACAGTAGGGCTTCAATAATCTATCCAAGTCAACATGCAGAATCTGTCTGTCTTCTTCATAGAATCACAGAACAGTTTGTGTTGGAAGGGTCCTCAAAGCCCACCCATCCCTAATCCCAGCCACGGGCAGGGCTCCCCCCAGCTCAGCTGCCCAGGGCCCCATCCAACCTGGCCTTCTGGGCAGCTGTGCCACTGCCCCACTATCCCCCGAGTAAAGAAATTCCTCCTAATATCTAATCCTAATTTTCTGTCTTTTAGTGTAAAAATGTTACTTTTTTTTCAATCATTACACTTCCTGATAAAAGCCCCCCTCTTTCCCAGCTTTCCTGGAAGCCCGCTTTAGCTATCGGAAGGTTGCTATAAGGTCTCCCTGAGGCCTTTGCTTCTCCAGGCTGAATAATCCCAACTGCACCTCCAATTAACATTTTGATTTTCCTAACAATAATAGTAACTTTTTTTCATCACTTCTTACATTTTCCAAATGCTATTTAATGAACAAACACTTTTCATTGGGCTCTGTCATACACTGTGAGTTAGATGGCTGTTGTTTATCATGTAATGCGTACGTCTCTCCAGCACCATCTGCTTTACCTACTAACCATGTGAGCCTTTCAGAGCAGAGGCATTTCTTACAATGAACAGTCAGTTCAGGGAAATGTTCCAGTACTTTTCTGGTGTTTCCATGCCCTGATACACTTGATTAAAACTCCTCTGCTATTACATATACTTCGTCATGCAATGTGATGGCTGTGGGAACATCAGCCCTCATCATGAGGCCTGCAATGGTTGGTTCTGTGTGAGCCCTGCCTTGTGACACCTGATACCTGTGCACATTACTTTTAGTTTTCCTCATTATTCCCTCACAGTGCATAGTACTTATTTGTATTTAGCTCAGGTTGGGGTATTTGAGTTGCAATAACTCAGTGTTATTTCCTTTTAACTTGCAACATTTTCTTGTCGTTTTTAACAGTGACATTTTCTTAACTACAGAAGAAATGTGTCAGTGCACACGGAAAGTTCTTATGTCCTCACCTTAGCTCTGCACTTGCTTGGAACCCATTCAGCATTGAGTTCAGCAAGAGTTCAGCCACATGGCACACAAAGGGCAGACCATGGTCTGTGGCATCTTACGTACAGTGATTACGACACGTTTAAAAAATGTGTCCGGTCCTGCAACATGTTCAAGAAACTTGGCACATTTACACGCTGCTCTACATAGCCAGAGTCTACCGCTCTGTAGCCTGAAAGATTATGCCTTAATGTGAGAAATGAGAAATTAAATTTTCTGCTTCAGGGTTCATTTTTGTTGTATAGCAGCTAGATTCCTGCATCTATCTGGACTCTCTAAAATGTTTTTATAGCAAGTCACGCTTGCCAACACGATATTAAATGGTCTCCAAACACTGTTTTAGCTGACTTGTCATGTTTTCTTCACCATACCTCACTTCGTAATTACTGCCTCCCATTGCCAATAACTCATGCCCTCCAGAAGGCCCTGTTTAAGGGTGAGTAATAAAATACTGAGAGATTAATGTTAGGTTGATGACAGATCATTTAATGCAACTTTTAGCAAAACTCCCTGGTGTCTAGGAAATTGGCAGGATGCTGTTGATGGCTGCTTTCTGATGTCATTCCATTAGCAACCAAGGGTTAGGGCTCTGAGGTTATTCTCTTGAGTTGAATGGAACAGGTTTCTCTTTAATCTTCAGTCCTCTCAGGGATTTGTATGAGGTGTGTTTCATTCATGTATATTTGGCATGAAAGTGGATCTTCCTAGACTACAAAACAAGATTTATGTTACTGTTACAGTACTGTAGTAAGTAAATTTAAATATTTTCACTTACATGTCTGCTAATACTTCCAGAGAGAGCAAAAGAGCCTCACAAACATGGATCCATGTTGATCACGCTCAAATGCCTTGGTTCCTTTGAAATGTTTTAAGGTAAGAAATTGCATGATGCTTATTTGCCTTTTATTAACAATGGAGTCAGAGCAGGAAGTATTGATTTTAAATCTGGGAGAAGTGCTAGAATGAAATCCTCTCCTCTATGTTAGTAGGGCTTGTCCTCAACTGCTTTTCAACACAGAAGTTCAACTACTGTTCAGTATGGGGAAGGGATGAAGGGAAGGCAAGTGATACAGATACCCAGGGATAAAAATGAGCATTGTTTATCCCTGAAATCAGATGATGTTAGAAATTTCATGCTAGATTAGCCCTATGTGAATATATTTTCAGGATGCATAGCTGTAACATGAAAAGACACCAAAAGCAAATGCCTGCTTGAGGGAGTAGGTATGCATACCATTTTCCAGGTGTCTACATCAACCAAAGCAAGCCTTATCTGCCCACCCCTAGCTGCTCCTTCTCCCATATTGCTATCTTTCCAATGACGTCAATGCAATGTTTCTAGGTTTTGTAATAAGCACTACAACTGGTTGAAAAGTAACCTTGAGTGAAGAGGGAGCCTTTTTTGAGCACTGGTTGTCTGATCCTGTTCGCAGAACGGCTTGACAAAAAGAATGACACGGTTGAAGGGGAGAACTTGCCATGCCAGGGAGACAGGAGAGGCTGGTGGCAGGAGAATGCCTTGAATCAGTAGGCTGTGCTTACCACCAAACACTGTGTGTCACAGACCAGCTTTGGCCTCGTTTGGTATCCAGTATTTGTATACATAAATGGGACAGACAGTCTGTCATTTGATATCTGCCTGCACATCTTAGCTGCCTTGTTACTATGCTCTAGTAATAGCTGAATCTTGGACATTATTATGGAAATGCTTTCTAAATTGACTACTTTCAAGCAGATGAGTAAGACTTGCCAGTTCCCCAGAATTTGCTCTTAATGGTCATAATTTCTCTGGAATGCTATTGAATCTGATGTAATAATCTGAAAAGATTTCCCTCTCCATTCTCCTTTGGGAATAAACAAAGTAGAGAGAACTTTGTAAGAATTTGACTGATTTTTAAGTTTCTCTATAATTAGAATAATCACTTTTTTATTTTGTATATGGATGTATTTTTATAGTATCTTCATAACTATTTTGTGAACCATTGGGTGACATAAATGTCTATTTTTAAGTAAATATATGCTTTCAAGAGAAGGCAGTGTATATGTTATAAACTGTTTTCACCTCTATCTTGATACATGCTAAGGCGTTACTGGTTGATACCCAGTAGGATATTACTCTTCATGATTGCTGTTTTCAGTATTTAAAAACCCTGAACTAGCCTTTGCAGTAGTGTGACTGTGGTACTACCCAACACTTCTGAATCCTGTGAATCATGAAGGACTGGCAGTCTACCCATGCATTAATTCACTCTGAAGTAAGGCTTGCTATCAGCAGTCGAATAAAGTCACTTTGAACTCAGCACTACTTGTAGCTTCCTTTTGTTTAATTTCAGAAGGAGCTGAATAACATACAGTAGTGGAAAAATAATGTCTTACATGGCATCTGATATACAGAACAGTGGTTCCCAGCCAATGAGGCAAGACTTACAGGCAAGGAATGAGTCTGTGACATTCAGGAATGTGCTCCATGGGACTCCCCTGAGAGCTGGAAGGCATTAACAATTCCCTCAGGTGAGGTTCATCTCCCCAGAAGTAAAATACCAAAACTGTTAAGAAGTTCAAAAGAGAAATCACACTTGATGTAAAGTGTGTTCAGCTTCCAGTTGAAAGAGAATGAATTGAATGAGTGAAGCACACCTTTCGAAAGTGCTTACTGATTGTGTTAACAAGTTAACGTCCATACTTTTTAAAAGAAGTTGCCAGGAACTACAGTTCTACAGCAGAATTAGCAGAATAAATTATTCTTGTCTACAATCAGTGATCAAACTCCTCCTGAAGCAGCCTCCCAAACTTTCTAACCAAAGTGGCTGCAGACAGCTGGTGTGATTTTTTACACATATTTTCTCCTGAGCTGCTTACTTTATAAATCTTTATAAATTACTTAAACTGTTCGCTGTGTGCATATTTAAGCCTGAGAGCACGCATGTGCAGCACAATGCCATGCAAAATAAATAAAATAATGTATCATGAGAAGCAAACCTGATGAACTGGCAGGCCACAAGATAGCTATTCCTTCTGAGAAGCAGAACCGATTGTCACCCAGGACTATATCAGAACAGTGCTGGTAGGGAAACTACATTATGGTGCAGCATTTTCACCATTATATGACTTAGGCAACAGTGACGTGCTGCAATCCTCTTGTGCCATAAGTCAGTGCTTGCTAAAACGGCTGTGAGGACTCAAGTCAGTGCTTCTGCATGTGCACCGTGAGCATGCATTGAAAATGTTGGTTCAGATTTCTCTGGTAATTAACTCAGAGCTCACACTCCTTTCATTCAGTGTTAGCATCTACCAACACCCAGCTACGATTTGAAATGCTCAGTACTGCACAACGAGAGGAAGGTGTGGCGCTGCCACAACTGCCCACAGAAGCTCTGGTGCCCCATGCCTGCAGGCGCTCAGTCAGGTCGGATGGAGCCTGGGGGGCAGCCGTGCCCACGGCTGGGGTTGGGGCTGGCTGGGCTTGAAGGTCCCTTCCAAGCAAAGCCGTCCCGTGATCCTACAAATGACTGCGGTGCATTTGTTGCTCGTGCAGCAGCAGAGGCTGAAAGCACGCGCCCCGTGCGCTCAGGGCCGCTCAGAGCTGCTGTTATCGGTGCACCCTGCTCTCACGAGGGCGGGCTGCCGGGCTATACCTGGAAGCCATCAGAAAATCCCAGCGACCGTATTTTGTTACTCATGAAATACAGTCTATAAATTGTTTTCGGGGACTCTCCATCCAGATAACCAGTGGGTTCAGAATTTTCATTTACAGGATCTCAGCTTGCCGAAACAAGGGGAAGTCCCTGTCACATACCATAACGCTGCATGAGTCCGAAATGCCTGGAAGTTACACGACAAGCCACGCCGACTCGCATGTACGCTCCGCGTCCCCGCCGGGATGGGGGCGGCAGGGTTTGTGCACGAGCCTCACGCCTGGCCGCAGGGAGACACGGCCGCCTCAGTCGGGCAGAGCCGGAGCCCGTGAGAGAGACACGGCAGCTGCGGGACCGCCTTCCCCTCACGCGCGCCCGCCAACGCCGCAACCACCACAGCCGCCAACGGCCGCCGCGCACGGCGTCCCGCCCTGCAGCCGCGGAGGCGGAGGGGCTCGGCCGGGGAGACACAGCGCCCCCTGGCGGCACGCGCCCGCCGCTCGCGGAAAGTGAAAGGCTTTCGGTTGAATTCTCCAGAAGGCTGAAGGAGCCTCTGGAGAAGAAGGCGAGGGCCGCCTGCCGCCATCGCGGGGAGCCCCGCTGCGGGCCGTGGGGCTCAGGGCCGAGGAAACCAAGCTTTTATTGCTGGATAAAAATAGAACGTGCGCAAACCGCTCTTCAGGCTGCTCGGTTGGGTTTGTGGCTATTGGGAACGTGTTGGGGTGCGGTGAGCTGGGTCTGACTGTGCCGTCAGTAAACCCACCGCTGTTCTGAGAGAAATCACCCGTCGTCCCGGTACAAATCCCAGCAGCCGCGGTGTGACAGGCTTTGGTGACTGCTGGATGCTGGCATGTCGTTAAACAGCCCAACTCGGAACAGTTTGCTTACATGCAGTCCTGTTTCAAATTAATAAGAATCACATCAAGATGATGCAAGATAGACTCATAGCCTCATGCAAGAAATATGTACAAATCTTGCACAATCCACGCGTAGCGATTGCGTTGTTTTGGCACCAGCGAGAGTACGTTTGCTGACACACTGCTGAGCAAAGGTAAAAAGCAAAAGATGCGATGTTGCAAAGAACTGTGCCTGTTGGGAGGGAAAGACTCCATCCGCTGGGGCAGGCAGTGCCAACACGCTGTCCGAGCGTCAGTCAGTGGGCAGGAGGAGTGGAGTGGCAGTGAGTAAAGTGCATCCGAAAGCTTGTTTCACTTCTGCTTGGTGCTGCTCGCTACTGGCCAGCAAATCGCTGCTCGCCGCCTTTGGGCTGCTCGGCAGAGCTGCTCTGGGGACAGTCTGATTGAGAAACACGTTCTGGAAACACCACATTTCGTCGAAGGAGACGGTGAATAGAAACCTTGCATTTGGGCTCGTATTTCTTACTGTCTGTACTAGAAGATGTGAAATACCCCATGGTTTTGTGATTTGTTTTTGGGCTACTCACAGCACAGCACACTCATGGTTCTTGTTGGAAGTGCTCTGCACAGATGTGAATTAAGAGGTCTCGGTATGAGCTGGACCTTTCTACTTTTGAGCAATCAAATTACATACAAGAACTGAACCACTCATTAGAGCACTAGCAAAAGGACTAGCAAAAGTCTAGATGTCATTAATTGAATTCTGCCTTTTGTTATACCGGCTGGGATCAGCCATTGATTTCATTCATGCTGAAGTCTTTGCTATTAAGAGGAGAAATCTTGATTGTTCATGTTGCTTCTAAAAATATCTGATTATGTTCTTCCCTTTTTTTATGTCCAAGGTCCTAATATTTCCTTTCACTATCTTCATCCCTAGGGACAGTGACAGTTTTTCTTAGAAAACTCAAAAGATATGCAAGAAACTGTCTTCTTCCACAGACCGCATGTACTTATCTATGATTTATCAGAAATGTGAGTATTTGGGGGAAATGCTCTCTCTGAATTTCTGGGAATGGCAATATCTGAGGGATCCCCCAAATTATATTTCTCTCTTTTTCTATTTTCCTATCATATTTTGTCTGCAGGTGGCACTGGCAGTTAATCTCCATTTCTAATTAAAAAGCAGAAGATGATATTTTCCTCTATGTAGTGGTTTGGCACAATTTCCCTTCTTTGCCAGCTCAGGACAGTAGCATGTAAACCCCTGAACCAAGCTATGATTTCTTCTATCGTTCCATCTAGTAAGTAAATATTGCTGGCATGCCCTTGAAATGGATGTTTATAATCATTTGCTTTATTCTTATTCTATAATCATTTACTTTACCTTTATTCTAGTAAGGTAATGTTCTGTGTTTTGCTCTATTAAATACATAGAGAATTTTGCTAATAGAGCCAAAGAGAATCTTTTACCTTTCTTTATGAATGAATGTGTACCTCTGAGTATTTTATGAAAAATTAATCCATATTTCTTGAATGGATTTCTCACTTTCAACCTATGATTTTGGCTTGCTAGTTGTCTATGTGACCTAAAAGTTTACAGATAGAAGAAAGCTTCTGATATCATTTAGTGAGAGAATTACACCTATCTCTCTAAGGTGAACCAAAAAGCTGGATATCCAGGTTAAATTCTGGTCCAAAACTGACTAAAAGGCTGAAGGGCATGACTTTGCCTTGATTTGTTTCTTAGTAAAGTGATGAAGAATGAGGTAATGGGAGGTGTTTGGTTGGTTCCAGGGCTCAAGAAGCTGACCTCAAGCTCCAAGTGCTGCTTGCTCCTTGCAAGGCCTTACGTTATGGGGATTTGTTCATCTACCTCCAGTCAAACACAGTTACACTGTGATAAGAATGTACTGAAAATTCAAACTGGTATTGTAAAAGAGAGGAACTTATTTTAGTACAGAGAGGTTGGAACCAACTTTTGCTTACGTGTTTTTTCATTAATAGATTTTGTTTTCCATTTAAAGGAAAATAATTTCCACTCTTAGTAATGAAATGGTCCACCTAACAGCAATACATGGAGTACTGTAGATCTCCCAGCAAGTGTCATGGGTTGGACTGACTTCCCATCTATTTAAAAATGTGATCTGTTGCCGTGAATGTGTCGCGTAAAAAAAGCAGTTAAAAATCCCAAAAAAGCAGTTAAAAAAAAATCTCCCTCATCCCCACTCATAAATCAGGAACTGAAACACTTCTTTGTATCCTGCCTGACTTTTCAAGATGGGATTTTAGTGCTTCAGAAAATTGCCATGATTTTGTATTTGTACACTGTGTGGTGGTAAAAGAAAGCTACAGATTCATTTGTGGTTTCTAAGCACTGCCTATTACAATACATATTAAGCCAAGTTTAACAAGGACTTAAATCATGGTATAAGTTTCTGATTATGTGCAGATTGTTCCTAAAAGAAGAATATGTGATAAAATGAAGTCAGTTGAGCAAATTCAGCTCAACAAGCATGCAAAACAAATGCTTATGAGGAAGAAGTGTGGGAAGAAGATCTATACATCTGGGGAGAACTGGTAAATCTTACACTCTCCTGTGAGTTACTCATGTCATCATGGGCTGGGGATTAGGTGTTTTGGAGTAATTGCCATCAGTGATGTGCTTGGCCTCCCTGCTATGGAGAAGCTATAGAGCACACAGTGCATGCAGCAGCACTGGCAAGTGCGGTTGAGTTTGAAGGAGCTGGAAATGCTCTGGGTTGTGCTGGGAGGTTTGGGATCCATAGGAAAGAGATTCCAGTGAGAGCTGTGCTGGGGATTTGTGCTTTGAGGGGGCCTGGAAAGGGCCAAGAGTCGGAGGGAGGATTGCGTAGGAATTAGGATAAGGCTAGAACTGAAAAAGAGCAAGAGTTGGAGAACTGTAGTTTCCAAATTTTTCTTACTGTAATACTTTCACACTGTTAATCCAGAGAGAAAAAATGAAAGGGAAATACTTTTATAGCCCACTTGGCTTTCAACTTTTTCTGCCAGAAGAGCTTCTGTGACACCTTTGGCACGGGAGAATATTTGTTTTTCAGTTTAAAATGGTAGTTTACCTGCTGAGGTCGGTAGATGAATATTATTGAGAGCTTGTGGCTTTCTGCCATAAGGTTGGTAGTGCTATCTTCCTTTTTGCAAGCCAGTTCATATAAAGTTGCACAGGTCACTCTGCCCAGCACCTCTCTATGTGAACAGTTTATATTACCTGTAAGCTGGTTCTCATCTTACACTCTCTGAAGAATAATCACTGAAGTCAATGTTTCTTTTGGACACCAGGATTATAGCTTGTGCCACTATTTAGTCACTGTTAATTTTGACCCATAGGTGTTTTGGAGATGGATATTTGCCTGCTCTGCTTCTAAATCTAGCTTGCTGCACTCTTACTACATAAAAGTCTGGAAGAGACAAGAAGAGACCCCTCCCTCTAAAATTTAATCCAGATTACATGCATTGTATGGCACACAACAAGAACCACAGAGTCCTCTGCCAGTCCCAGATCTTATAAAATCTAAACACACCAATAATCACGGAGTCTATTTTTAAATGTTTACCATGACTCTCAAAGGCACATACGCATTTAACATCTGTATCTTTTTAAAGTGTTATTTATTCTAATATACCACATCTCTGGCAGTAATTTTGTGCTAATTGCTCAGAACATGCTGTCCTTTGGGAGGTTATAAATTTAAGTATGACACTTACTGTGTTTTTTCAAATTTACACATATTGAATATTTAACTAACTCAAGATCATTGGGAGCTTGAGGTGCCTGCCTATTTCACTCCAAAAGTATGGATTTATTACCATGAGTCAGAGAAGTAGAATTACCTTTTCCTGAGGTTGGAGTGATCTGTCTTTCCATGTGAGATGCTACTATGGCAATGTCGGTTGTGTTACTAGGGTGACCTAAAAACACTTACTGAATGTCTTACACAGAGTTCGTTTTAAAGGAAACTGAGCATTACCTTCTGTTCCCTCACTAATGCATATGGTTGTCCATATTTAGAAATACTATTTAGTTCTTGAATTTTAGTTACTTGAAATTGGAAGGATTTAAGCACTATTGAAGTCATGACAGTTTCAGCTTTCTGCTGCCTAAGCCTTCACTTCTGTTCACCTAGGCATGCACAGACATCAGGTTCTACAATCCATGGTTGTGCAGACCCACAGCTCTTGCGATGTGCCCTGAGCAGGACTCTGCTTTGCTATCTGTCAGGATCTGACGTGGCGTTCATGCTGAGAGCACACACATGTGGCAGCTGTGTATGTATTTAGAAGGCTCACTCCCAAATGTTTCTTCCGTGATGGCTGTGCAGATTGCAGATGGCAGAGGTTGGGCTGGAGGCACAGTATGTTCTCTTTAGAACCGCAGGGTTCTTTATCAAGATAACAGGGTTTTTTTTGATAGGGTATTTTCTCCAGACCTTGGGACATTCATATTTCTCTTTCCTTCACATGCAAAGAAGTAGCAGACTAATGCTTTCCTACTTAAGGAACAGCCTGAAATGCCAGACATAACTGGATATCCTCTCAGCATAGGACACTGACTATATATGTGTATGCCTGTGAATAACAAAACTGGGGTTTGGCAAAAAGAACAGAGACCTATGGCGTATGTCTCATAACATATGGAGGGAAGGGGTCACTTTTGAAGAATCTAACTTTTTCTATATTTGTGCTTGTGACAGGTCAGCTTTTTGAATCCAGTTTCCAGCATGTAATATTTGCCTTGCAGTTTCTGAGCTAGTAGTGTTTTCTCTGTACTTCAGAAAATTGTCACTAAATAAGTGTTCCAATAACCGTGAATGCTGGTAGGGCTGGTTGTACAAGTGATCAAAATTGAAAGACAATCAAATGTAAAAGTATCTGGCTGGGGATGAAGGGAGAACTACTCCAAGTTTCTTTAAATGGTCGTGATGTGTTTTTGGGAAGAGTTGGAAAATGGCCCTGTGTCAGGTTCCATGTCTTCCTTGTCTGGTGCACACATCTCAGTGCATGGAAAGTATTATTACTCTGGAATTTAAATATGTGTCATATGTGCCATAGTCATTAATCTGTAGTTTCTGGTTTTGAGGGGAAAGAAAGATGAGAAACCAAAGAAGGAATTAAATCAGATCTCTCCCCCTGCCCTAAGCCCTTATCATTTCTTTTACAGTTATGCAGATCTCTCATACCCTTTTTTCATTGCACAGGACCTCCTGCTGCCCAGATATGGCCCTAGATACACTGACACCTTAGTCAAACATAGGAACGTTTCTGTTCTTTCCTGCATCCTTTTGTCTCAGAAAACTTGTCCCTTTTATCTAGTTCTTCCTTCAAGTGGCCTTTGTGATTCTCATTGGCAATGCACAGCTCCCGCCCTCAGACACCTGGGAGTGGGTGCCAGCTGCTCTCAGAGTCCAGGGTTCAGTGGCAAAGGAAAAGGAAAAGGAGCCATTCTTATCTCAGGGTGGGAGTTTGGCTGGCTGACTGCCTGCACGTGAGGGTCTTTATACTGAGGAACTGGAGGCTAACAGTTGACAATGCTCAGTAGTAGTTTTCTGTCTCTTTCCAAATGCTGCTGTAAGTAGTCATCTATTTATCACATATTATTTGTCACAGTGTCCAGGAGGACCAGAGGAGCTAGAAGTGCTTCTTTGGAAAGCACTTCCAAACTTCCCTTGTTTGGTTTGTTGTTACTTTTTTCTTTACTCTAACCCTTGTCTTCTGCCACAATGACATTTTCTGGCCCAAGTGTATTTATTATTCCGCCTTCCAAACCTTTGTACAGAATTGTTGCCTGTGCTGAAGAGGATTTGAGCTTGTCTTTTTTAAAAGACATTGGCTCACACTGACTGAAAGCGTCACCAGCCAAAGCATTCACTTTCCCGAAGGCACAACGCCTTTGGTAATTTAGGCATTTATTTACAGTAATTATCAATTATGCTATGCTTTTGTGCTGCACACACTTTAGATGTATTGTAGTCCCCTGCAAATATTTTGGAGACCTACGTGTGTGGTTATCTGTTCATTTGTAACTGCAGATTTCTTCAGTAAATAGCTCCTAAATGAGATTATCTGTGAATCTATTTGCTTGGCAGTAAGAATCTTAAGTCTATTTGTGTAGTGTTTTCTGTAGACATATTCTTGAAAGATTCTATCCACGTTGCTTACGGAACTGTGCAAGCTACTGCACACAGAGAAGGAAGAATGTGGTATGTTATCTTACTTGGAAATACTGGGTCACACAATTAGAAGATATTCCATCATTCATGTGTAAGATAGCAGAACTGACCTTCTGCTTGCACTCTCAACAGTGGCATTTCCTGCTTTTGAATACGTTTTTGTGCAATTTAGTATTTGCTTTAGCTTCCTGTAGAATAGTTTCTCTTCTCTTTAGGGGAACTATTGAGTTGTTTCTATAAAACAGCTTTGGCACATTCTGTACATTTGAGTAATAACTTCTAAAAAAAGTGGGAGCAGAGGGGTAAGTACACAAAGGGGTAGAAGAGTCAAAAATGTTTTGAGTAAATTCAGATAAAAGTAACAGAGAGCTTTTCCCTGCATTTGGTTAAATGCAGAGGAGCATGGTATTATTTGAAAGGCAGGAAATTTTTGAAATTAATTTGTCCTTTCTATTGCTATTCATTCTGAGGAGTTTTTTTCTTTGAAAATAACATGGGAAACCCTTGTAAGCACCAGTTTCTACAGCTACCTTTCCTTGGTCCGTGGATAGTTTTTCTGTCAGCAAAGGAATGTGATGTGACCAAATCCAGACATTCAGAACTCCTTTTTAATAGACCCGTCCCCTTCCCCAACAAACAAACAAGCCCCAGATTCCCAGAACATTTGTTTCTAAAGATGAAACATTAACAGTCTAATGAATTGAATCTTCATTTATTTTCTTTTGGTTTCTGGACTTCTTACTTCAGAAATAAGTAATATTTCTAAAGCTTTCACTTTGGTAATGAGGAATGAGTTTCTCATCCCACAGTGTGTAACTCAGATCTGGGGCTTCAAGAATACGTGGTAAAACCACAGGAATTAGCTACAAATGTGGAAGTTGCAAATCCTGTGTGATTCAATTTTGAAGGTTGTAGGAGATAAAAGCAAGAGGGGAAGTTTCTCACCATGCCACTATCAGAGATCTATGTTTATCCAAGTCAGGTGAGAAAGGATCTCTGTTCTAACCAACAAAAGGTAGCTGCACTCAGTCAGCAGAGGGAATATTGTATACTTGGTTACTCCCCAACTATTTTCTTTTGTTCCAATCTCAACTCTTAACCAAGAAATTTGTCAATAGATTGACAGTTTTGACTGCAGTAGCTGTTTGGATAAAAGCATGAAGTGAAGTTCACGTATGCTCTTCCATTACAAAAAGAAAAAAAAAAAAGAAAAAAAAAAAAGGTATTTCTGGGGTATTCATGAAGATCAACTGATCTGTTCTAGTCCTATGTGTTGCTAATTCCTAAGTTAAATACCCATAGGGAAAATTGACTCTGCTGTCGTATGCAAAATGATGAAATGTTGGGCTTGATTTTATCATTATTTCTCAGGAGGGAGGCTTCAGGGTTATGGTTGATAGTTCCCTTGCACCAGGTTTGATTCTTGGCAGTTGTTTAAAAAAGAAAAAAAAAAAGAAAGAAAGCAAACCAAATTCCTGGAACTGTTAGGAAAAGAATCGTGAACGTCAAGATCCCACCATATTGATCCATGGCTTGGCTATGTCTTGAATACTGTTTATATAGTTATGGTCTCCTGATCTTAAACTCCTGGAAAAGACACAGGCCTTTCTCAGAAGAGCTGGGTAACAGGAATGATCGAGGATGTGAAATTTGCTACCAAAAGAAGTGACTGAATAGGCTGGGACTCTTCATTCTTCACAATGGAGTGTAAAATCTTAAGTGGCTTGGAGAGCATGGACAAGCATGAACACTTCCAGTGCAAGAATGTGCAAGGGTCTGTCAGGTGAAACTGCAAGGAACAGGGTCAAAGGAAACAAGATAAAGCTTTCTTATGAGTGGTGTCAAGCCTACAAAACTTGTCACCAAAACATTTTGTGGGTGCTGGTATTGCAGGTAAATAATTGAGACAAAGACCTGATGAAGGTTACTATCTAAAGGAACTGTGTTGAGCTTGCGTGACTGCTAAGCTGAGCGTGGTCGGTCTGTGGGGAAGCACCCAGAGCACATATACTTGTCCTACTCTCATTCTTCCCTGAGTGGCTGCTTCTGATCACTGCCATAGGAAGAAAACAGGGGAAGGACCTCTGAGCTGAACCTGCGGAGCCGTTTGTCAAGAAGGCAGGCAGCTCTGGGATGTATTCTCACCAGACGAGCTGAATGATACCTGACCTGCCTGTAAATGAGCTACCTCAGATGCCAGGAGCAGCTGGTCCTTTGGCTGCATGGAGATCCCATACTCTCAGTGCCACCAACGAGCCTGTGCTGAGATTTTTGCTGTCGTCGCTGGGTGGTTCTCCCTGCTAGCTTGTACAAAAGCATTGCTACGCCACACTGTTTGCTGTGTGGACGTGCCCATAGTCTAAGTGGATAAACTGCTAAATTCTCAAAAGTGGGAAAAAGGATTCCAGCATCAACTCCCACTTCGTTTCCATTTTCTGTTTAATCTATTCACAGGTCTAATCATTTTTCTTTTTTTTTTTTTTAGTGTCAGATTAAATATGCTTAACTTGGAGACTGAAAATCATTAGCTTTTTTTTGGTTCACGTATCACTGTCAGCAGTAGTAAAGCTATGCAGCCAGACCTGCTGCTGTATCAAGAATAGAATCTGGTATATTCTTTTTTAATGGCTCTGAAGATCTGACTGAGAATTAGTAAAGGACTATTTTTATTACTGAAGTCAGCAGTTCTGATTCAGTGTCCAATAGGGTCTGCCTTGAGTAATGAGATTTTTTTTAATATTGTCACTCTTCATCTTAACTACACTTTAAAAAGGAATGGCGTCTATTATATAAGCAAAAAATCTGACACTGCTGCCATGATAAGCTAGTGAGGAACACTGCTAAGTATTTCTACACAAATGAATATTCTTCAACATTTTCATCATGTGATTCTCAGGGTGTCCAGTTGGGGGCACTGGGCAAACATAGAAACATGGCTATGGCCAGACTCAATAAGACTGATGGTAGCCCTGCCACATGGGTGGAAGGATAGAATGAAAAAAGGTAAAAAGGACGAGAGGTGCAGATGCCACTTTTAATTTAGACTTTTTTGGTTTTTTTTAAGATGAAGTAGGTTTAGCTTTTAAAACTTTTTGTTACTAACAGCTTTAGCGTTTTATTTTCCTTATCCAGTTTCTTTGGTAAAATCAACAATAACAGCAACTTCAGTGTCACCTCCTTAAGAAGCAATTTCAAATTCTTGGTGGGTCCATGTAGAAAAGTTATTTTATGTTTAAATTTGTTAGCATTTGGTGTTGTTAAAAAGAATACCTAGCATGAATCACTGGCTTTGCCTACCTTTTTTATTAGTATTTATTCATTTATATCAAGGGAAGAGCTAGAAAAAAAAAGTAGAACATGTTCCTTATTAGTGTACAGGATAAAGATGAGCATGCATTAAGGTCTGCATGGGCCAGTATACACACAGTGTCTCAAACAAGACCAAAGGAGAAGATACAACATGTTTTGTTCAAGGAATATTAATTACTCTATTAGCAATATGCCGCAGTGATCAGATGTTTGTGCAATTAGGTGATTTCAAATGAGAAAAGATTGTAAAATATCAGCTCAGAAATTCATAAGTCTAATTTTGTTGGTAAGGTTTTCTAAAATTAGGCAGGTAGATGATATAAAGATTTGTGAAATTGGAAGTGAATCAAATTTTCCAAAATAACATTTGGTAATGGGTTTAGGAGAATGCATGAGAGAGCATGTACATGGGGGAGGGAATATACACGTTGGGACTGCACATCTTTAAAGAGATGTACCAGTAAGAATAAGCATTCGATGTTTCCTTCATTCCAACTGAAATTTTTAACTAGATTTTGTAATAGTGCAGTGGATTTCTTGGTTCCTTGGGCTCCCGGCCTTCAATCTCATCTCTGCAGTACAAGCTAGGATTACTTGCAAAGGACTGAAGCCAAAAGTTTTGTCCACACCACCAGCTATCAAAACACAGGGACTTCTGTCTGAGTGCAGATAGTTTTGGAAAGGCAGGATAGAACATTTTGTTCATCTTCCCTCGTGCTTCTCCACACACGCGTCTGCACACACAAAAACACACAGAAACAAACCAAAGCCCTGATTGTACTGTGCTTCTTTAGTCTTCCACATAACCATAGAGAGCAATCTGTAAATACTGAAACTTCACAAAGCAAAGGTATTAAGTCCCTTAGATAACTGGAAAGTTGAAATAACTATCAGCTGGTTGGTTGTAAGATTTGCGGGGACTCATAAGTTCTAACTTCCCATTCCTTAATCTAAGCCTAGACCAAGAATGAGAAATTAGCTGGAATCCATGATCAACTTTTTAATAACAAAGCTTTGTTTATATCTTGACACTCAGTGGGCAGTACCAATATCAGCTAGTAAGATGCTTATTTTTGAAAACCTATAAAACATGTTTGTTTTCTTTTAATACCTTGATATTGTTATAAGCAAATGAAATTGCTCCTGGAATTTGAGAATGAATTAAATGACACGCAAGTAAATATATATTATTTTTTTATTAAAGTATCAAAACAAACTTGAAAATAGAAAACAAACTGCTTTTAATGCATTTTAAAGGTTCTCCTGAATAACGTATACTTTTAGAAAACTCATGCAACATACTGCTCCTGTCTAGCTGTTCAAACACTCTTTCATGGGCATAGTCAAATCAACTTGAGTACCATCACTTCTACAGTAGCGTGCAGGAGCACGCGTGCACACACACACATACACACAGTAGAAAGCAGCTATGACTCCACATACAAAGAAATAAAAATAATTATCTTCTGACAATAGTAGTGGTACCCTATTAACATTTGGTATGCTAAATACATAACATCAAGCAACAAAAGCATGACGCCGGCGTCATCAGCGATGTGGTTAAAAGCAACCATACAGATTCCCTAAAGGAGAGACATTAACTGTGTCGTTACATTCTAGTCTCTGCTGGAACACTTTATAACAGCATAGGAGGCAAACTCTTTTGTCTGCTGGTATCTGAGGTGCTAAAGGCAAAGCCAAGGAGCACAATACCATCATGAAACCTCAGTTATGTACTCCCATACTACAGAAGTCAGACATCAATGAATACTGTTTGACAAATTTACTGATAACACACTTGATGTATATCCATCATCTGACGAATGACCGGCCCAGTTCCCCAGGAAACTCCCCCTGCTGCAGAGGCTCCAAATTCTGCCTGCAGGGCATTAATAAAAATCTCACTGAAGTCAAAGGCAGCTCCTTCCAACTTACAGAAAGAAAACAGATTCTCAGGACAGAATCAGACCTAGTGTGTTGTCTTTTTAATCATTCATTTTTCAGATATATGAAGTACATAGCTTTTAAACATGATATAGGACATTACAATATATCCAGATCTTAGGAAAATGTACTAAAAAGTTCTGTTGCAGAATATAAAGATCATTTAAGGATCAGGAGTGATATCTGATACATTCAGCCAGAACTTGTAGAGGAAGAAGCTTATGGCTGAGGTATCTTTAAGTTTAGCCTTTAGAATAAAACTACAAATTCAACACTGCATAACTGGTGTAAAATATTATGTACTGTAAGCTCCATTTAAATTGTGATGCAGAGCAGCTAGACACCATTGATGAAGATATAGAATTTTGAGAGGTATATTCTCTGCACTCAATCATTCAAGATACTCAAGTGCCTCATCTGTGGAGATGATGGAGGTTAAGTGGTGTCTCTTGCAACTCGTGAAGTTTAGGAATATATAATATTAAACACCAAGAGATGAAAGTAAAAAGACAGCACAACACTTGTGTTTTCAGTTTTATCTTGCTTGCAGTATTTATTAACTTTACTCATTATGATATTAGTGATAAATAAGGATATTTTCTTTTACAAAAAAATTGTAAGGATATATTTTGTAGGATTAAACAATCTGAGAATTTCACAGAAACATCAGAATTTAAACACTCATAGCTCCAACTGTATTGTCCAGCAGCTCTTCTACCAGTTCAAAAACATCTAAGGTTAGTATTTAATAAAAAATGAGAACAATTATTCACTACATCAGAACTCTTGTCTCCTTTAGATTCTAAGTAACACTTTTGATTGACTGTAGTTACCACTCAAACATAAAATAAAAGTAGCTGCAATCATAATTTTTCCCTCTGAATCATCTGGCAAAAAGAAGCAATCCTGACAAGGACGGAAAAAGCTTTGTCTACGTCTTTTTCCTGACAGCCATCTGTATAACCAGATCACTACAGGCCATGGAACCTCTTCTGTCAGTGAGGGTTTAAGGCTTCTAAGATTAGATCCCAGGTGATTTTGGTGTTTTTTTAAACTTTTCATGATTCATGAACCTGGGATTCAGTCCTGCAGTTCTTTGCTTGGGCAAAACCATATCAAAATCCCTTCATTGCTACTTCCTTCTTTCCAGTGGGTCCAATTCACCCAGTTGCCAAGTGATGGTACAAAATGCTCTCCTGAATGCAAGGAAACACCGTACTTCCCAAAGGATAATAGGTGGGGTTCCAGCTCCTAAAATAGCATCTTAGCTACGTGGATATTTTGCAAGAAACCTTCCTTCGTCACACCTACTAGGACTTGTCAAATTCAGTCTCTGAGATGAGTCATAGGAAAAAAACCACACAAGTGTTGTGAAAAAAGTTACAAAGCTTAATTGGAACTAAAGGCTTTTTGTGTGTTTGTGTGTGTGTGTGTTAGGTTAGAATGCAAAATTACGTATCAGTACATTCTGGCAGAAACCATCCTCCTGGAAACTACAAAACTTTAAAAATACTCTGTCTGCTTTCCCTGACAGCCACAAGGAAAAGTAGTGTCCATCCAGCACAGCTGTATGTACCATGTGCATCATCGAAGTCATAGTGTTCTAGCACAAACGTCGTGAGTGCAGATACTGTATACTAGCAGAGAGCTAAATCTTCTGAAGCTGTTGTCTGTAGCTCCTAGGAACAGCATGTATGACAGGTGCAAAACCTATTATGAGGCAGAAGGCTCTTCAGTTTGACCGAGACCAGATCTTCCGAGGGGAAGAATCTCTGACAAGCCAAAAATGATTCTTTCTGCTTAAGAAAGCGATCTGCCCTTCCTAAACGCTCTTTACTAATAGAATCCTACACATAAGTCAGATCCTCTGTGGATTCTGTTGCTTATAGTTGTTAAAACATACTATAAATATTTCCACATTTGCCATATCACTTAACCTTGTAATGTTCCTTCTTTGATCTGTTGAATAAAAAGATTCCTTTCATCTTCAGGTGTCCTTCCATTTTGTGCCCGAACTATACAGGTGGGCCTGTGAAGATTTAGCATGTATATCAAATGCTGCTTCTCATTCTTTAGCTCTTCAATCTGGGCTTTTAATTCCGCATTGATAGTTTCCAGCTTTTCTGATTCCTAGTCACAAGGTACAGACACAACTATTAGAGTGAGCATTTCAAGTAGTTAATTGCAGTATTTATCTAATAGTTGCAGTTTTTCATTGGTGGAAAAGCATATGGTTACAAGTTACATGCTCTTAGCGTGCCATAATGGTGAAACTATACATCTCCCAGTTGATAACAGTCTTAAGAACAGATTGACATTTGCCTTCTTTGGCCTTTACAGAAGTGTAACAAACATTGAAAAGCCAAGTTCAGATTTATATTCACTTACAATGGCAGACATCCAAAGTAATGTTTCTATCTTCTATAAGATTATTTTGAGCTTTTTGGGTCAACTATTGACTTGAAATTATATATGCTACTTACTACCTCCCCAGTACTCCATATCACGTATCTGTAAACTTATATTAAGCCATCTAAGAATGTAGCTTTCTACCAGAATCCCTGGATATAGAAACAAACACAGGCCTTATGCTGCTGTAAAACAGTTTTAAATGGTAGCAGATAGGGTGAAGAAATGTCATTTTGTTCACGGTATGATGACAGACAATATATATATATATATATCTCAAAGATCTAAAGCCAGATACTTACTTTCTGCAAACATTCTGTTTTTTCCTTCTTTTTGTTTCGGCACTTTGCAGCAGCAATTTTGTTCCTTTCCCTTCTTCGCTTTTTTCTTTCATCCTCTTCAGGAGAAAACTATCCCACAAAAACAGATAGACACAATCCATAAGATGTTGTAAACGCTCTGCCTATCTTTTGATAACTTCAACGTATTTAAAAGCAACACAGTGCTGTTAGTGCTCACATCATGAGTTACATAAGGCTGTGATCTGACCTTGCTTGCAGTACTGTAAAATGGTAGTAACTCCATTTAAATTGTCAATAAAACCTCACTGAAGTTTGGATGAACGTGATGGCTCACTGTAAATCAATGTCACCTCAAAAAATTGCCAAGTGTCTTCCTAGGCTGCATGCCAAAGAGGGGGTGCTGGGCTCAGGCCTAGGTGTTGCCATTCCCCTAACTTTATCTGTTTCTTCATTTTATAATATAATGTTTTCCATTGAGATTATTATCTATCTTAAAAGCCTACTGGTTAAGTTGTAGCACGGGAAGGACAACTGCTGTGACTTATTCCAAGTTCAGCCACACGTAGGCAGAGAAACCAGATTTAGCACTTACTCTAATCACTGTCAAACACTGTCCTAGTTCATAATTAAAAATAAAATACTAACTTACAGACTTCAATGGAAATTACTAATACCATAGGAATTTCCCAGAAGTGAATAACAGAAAACCAAGCAACAGGCTTAAAAGGATCTAATAAACTAACGTGTTTAGATGGTGGAGAGGGTTGTTTGTATTTGACATAATTAGTGCTCTTCTGTGCAAGCTGCTTAGAGAACTGAGCATTCACCCCGAAATGCTGCTCAGTGCCATACCTCTGTTTTCATGACTGATGTTTCCATCGGCCTTTCAGACACTGTCACCGTATCCAAAGTAGAAGACATCCTGTGGGACTGACGTTTGTTTTGGATGGCGAATCTAAGTTCCTCTTTCACCAATGGGGTTAAATTTGTGAAATCATCAAACCCCAGTGACCCTGCAGGAGACAAGGTGGGAACAATTGCGGAGGCGCTGACTTCTAATGCAGACACCTGGCCGGTGTGTTGGACCATCATTTTGCTGAAAAGTAAAAAGAGACAGGAATAGCCTTTCAACAGCTGTAGAGAGGCAAATAATATCTCCTAGAAATATATTTCATACTGTGAAATAATATATTTCTTGCACTGCTTCAGCCCACATTCCCTGCGTACCTCAGTCTCTCATGAGAAACAGTTCAGAATTTTATCACTAGTAAAAGCTTTCACATCAGGCTCAATTCAAGACAGCATTTTAAAACAATAACCAAAAACAGTAACCAAAGGAATATTATTATTATTTAAAACACTGAAATATCTCTATCTTCATAGCTATCCCACCACAAAATCACAGCTTGAAATGGACAGAGCACACCTTCATCTCAGCTACAATTCAGTAAAGATTAAAGAGTTTTGAAGAAGCTGAAGTTTGCTAACCAAGACAGAATCAGCTACAAAACGCTCACCACGTTCAGTTTCACAAACAGACAGAAAAATGTCTTGTTATAAGCAGTTACATGTCCCGAAAAGCAGTTCACAATCAGAACTGTCAGAAATGTGGAAATCTACACATGCTCTGGAGCTTTGAGGCACAAACTGAGATAGAGGGAAGGAGTAATGAAAAATGTAATGCTGATTGTTTCCTCCCTTTACGCTCATAAAATCTGAAACTGTCCCCACGTGACCTCAGCAACAAGTTTTTAATTCTTCAATGTTTATGGTCAGATCTCCTGTTGATATAAAGCTGTGTAACCAAAGAGACTTTGGCTGAGGCTTTGGTTAATGGGGCACCCATGGAGGAACTTCATTTCTAGCAGTTTTCCCACAAAAATACACCGATCTAGCAGTGGTTTTTGCTTTCACCTTTTTAGCCATCCTCAGTTTTTTAGCCAATTTTGGAAGAGGTGGAGAGGCGCCCTACATGCTTGGTGAAAACTGGTAACCCCACTGAGGGAGAAATGCACAAAACTCAGCAGTCGGTCACCCAAACACCATGGGCAACCCAACACGAACCATCCATCCCTCAGCAGAGGCAAGAGAAGAGGTCTGGAAGAAAGCTGAGCATTTTGTGTGGCTGGCCCACAGGACAAGAGGTGCAAATCCGTAGAAGAATAGATTGTATTACCTCCCTTAATCATAAAGCAACTTTTGTTTATTGGATTTTGCTGTATTGCTTTTCCTGCTTTCCTTATTGTGGAGGTTTTTGAGATTTCTGTTTTCTTGGACTCCTTTGGAAACTAAATGACACATAATCTGTTCTTGTTTAGAATTGTAAGAATTATAGCCAAGTCATTGAATTAATGTAGCGCAGGTAAGCAAATGGGATAGCATTGTGGGTAAAGTAGAATTGCCATGTGGACCCAAATTGTGCAGTTCCCTATTTGCTAGTACTGTGACATGGCAAGAAATGGTTGGGGTCACGTGCCTTGACAAGAAGATAGATTTCGCTCAGAGATATCTAAAAATATACTGTAAATCCGCATCGGTGCAAATTAGAGTAGAACCCAGCTCCTCACTAAGCGAGGTAAACACAAAAATCCAAGGGCAGTGAACTGCCAGAGGACAGAAAATCACTTGTCCAGCTGCAGAGGTTTCCTCACTTTGAGTCTCAATGACCACAAAAGAGCCAAAGATTTCCCACATCCCAGGGGTGTAATGCTGAAACCACTGAAATCAAAAGGAGTTTTGCTGTCGACCTCAGCAGGGCCAGGATTTCACCCTCGGTTGTTAAATATGAGGAAATTATTCGGAACAATTTGTTATTCAGAAAGACCTTGGGAAATTTATGTAATTCTCTTCAGAAAGCCCCTGTTCATGAGTCACATTTAAAGTACTGATACAGTTTAATCCTATAATCTCAGAAAGCTGGCAGTTACTTTTTTCCCCAAGTCAGAAAGGCCCTGTGATTTCCAGCTGAACTCCTGGCATTATTTACCATTTCTCAACATTCAGCTCAGTGAAACAGGCTGACTCCAGGTGATATTGAGCCCCCCGCTGTTCACAGAATTTGGATCTGTGCTCCCTGACCGTCGGTCTCCTCCGCTCCTGCTGCTGCCTTCATTTAAAAAACTTAATTCCGTATAATTCAATCAAACCAGGAGTCTTCAATTAATAATAAAACCATTTCTCCAGCACACAGCATAATTAATTGGGCCAACCATTTCTCAGCACGGGGGGGGTTTATTCATTTATATTTCAGTTTAGGTCAACTTTTAATTAAAGTCAGCACCAGAGGAAACAAAGAATGCCCGGGGTTTAGTAATTTGTCTGAGAAGTTGTGCTTACCTACCAGGCAGTGCTATTCCTACAAGCACTAAGCGTACCACGAACCCCAGTGCAATCCTACTGTAATGTCCTCAGGTTTCTGCAGATCTATTGATCTACTGATCCCTCTTCGGTTTGACAAAAAGGGAAGGGAGGCTGCCACTGCGAGGGGAAGCCCAGAAAGAGCAATGCCCTTGCCTGCATGGCTCGCTGACCACCCAGGCACCCTGACAGCATTTCCCTTTACCCACACTTTGGGGCGGGGGGCCTGCCAGGGGCCAGGCAAGCTGGATGGGTCCTGTCCCCAGCCCACCACTGCTGGCAGGGCTCCTTGCCCCAAGCTGACTCCCCAGGTGCTTGGCAGCGGGGCTGGGGCCGGTACATGGCATGGCAGGATTCCTTCCAGTGCACGGCTGAGGTGGTCGGGAGTGACAGGGATATCAAAAATAATTAGCTTGCGTTGAAGCCAATAGTAAGCCACCAAACAGACTGGCTTTCCATAACAAAAGGTAGATGTTTTCCAATTTCTGAGGAACAGATCCACTTTTAGAAACGCTTTACAAGGATGGAGATTAGATTTTCCTAATACAAATAAACCACAGCAGCTTGCCCCTTTTTCCAGCTTCCGCACAAATTGTTCCTCTGTCTGTCAGTTTTCAAGAGTGGCATGCCGCTCTGCCCTAGGTCTGCATAGCAATAGGGACATCTAGACTCAAACTGCGATTACATCTGGGCTTCCTGATCCTATCTGTTTACTTCATTAGACCATGTACATGGATGGCAGCTCTGGTCTATTTTGAGGACTTCTGAAGTTACTGGAACTGAAGGTGTCGAACATTTCACGGACCTGATCCATAAAGGCACAGCTTGCTCCCGCCGTGAGCTCACACTTCTTTACTTTATTCTTAGTTTGGCAATTCTCTGGGGAACAGCTCTGCTATTGATGGTACCCTCGACTTCAGGTAGATTCAATAAACTCTGCTTCCGCCACTATGCTTGTTTGTTCTTTTGTTAGTGGCTCTTTCTATCCTCACCAAATCTACACATCTCCTCTGCCGATGTTTTAGCTTCGGTACACGATTCCTAGCCGTGCACTTCTGTTAGTTATACATATTCCCGAACGACTGCTTGGAGTCTTTCCGCCCAGCTGCTGACGGCTGACTGTGCCTCACTCTCGGGTTTGCTTCTTCACGCGAATCCCTTTTCCTCCGGTGCTGATGCAACAAACGCCGATAACCACTGAGGTTAATCTTAAACAGCATTAAGGGCAATTACAGTTCACAACCTCCGTGCACGCCGATTGACCTTAAGCTTTCCGACATCCCGCATCACTCCCGAATCACTTTCCGCCGGCTTCCAACAGCTCAAACGCGAGAAGAACCCATTTCGAACGGGCAGCTCCTTCTCTCTTAACAAGTTTTCTGCCGAGCCACGCCTGCCTCGCTTAGGCAAGACTTTAGCGACCGGTCTCCGTGTCGGACATCGGCACAGAGACAGAACCGAGCGAGTCCCCGGCGCTTTTCCTCCCGGGCTGCCCGGCGCCCCGCAGCCTCTCCCCGGCGCCCCGCCGGCAGTCGGAGCGGCAGCCGGAGCGGCAGCGCGGGCGGTCGCGGCCGGCATCCCCTCGGCGCCGAGCCCCGCGCTGCCCGCCCCCGCGCGGCGCCGAGCGGCACGGCCGGCCCGAGGCAGCCGCGGCTCCGCTCGGGGCTCCGCTCGGGGCTCCGCTCGGGGCTCCGCTCCCGCCGCCGGCCGAGCGCCGCGGGCACCCCGGGATCCTACGGTTGCCGGCCCGTCCCTCTCCCCGGAGCCGCCCGCGATTCCTACCTTCAGTCCGCCGCCGGCCGGCCGGGGCTGCTCGCCGGCCCCGCCGCGCCCGCTCTCTCTCCCGCGCCCGCTCTCTCTCCCGTGCCCGCTCCGCCAGCGGGAGAGCAGCGCCCGCTCGCGCTCCCCGCGCCTCTGCCTCTCGCCGCGGTTGCATCACCCCCCTTATATAGCCGAGCGGGTAGAGCTGGTATTTACTCTGGCGGCGAGTCCCGGGCTGATGTCATGCTATTAATAGCTCCCGGAGGGCGGGCGGCCGGGCGGGGGGGCAGCGGGGCCCGCGGCGGTGATGCAAGGCTTCCCCGCCGCACGGAGGCGGGGCGGCGCGGCCTCGCGCTCCATAACAGGAGCGCACCGAGCCGGACCGTGCCGAGCCGGGCCGCCGGGACCCCGCGGGACCCCCTCCCCCCGGCGGCGGAGCGCCCCGTGCCGGCAGCGCCCCGCGGGAGAGCAGCGCTCGGCACCCGGCGCGGGGCCGTCCTCCCCCGGCGCTCTCTCTTCCCCTTCCCCCTTTTTCTTCCCTTCTTTTTAACAGACTTCAGGGGGCGTCCCCACTTCTTAGGCGTGCGAGACGCTTTGTTGCTTTATCATAAATCGGAGTCCTTCTCACGGCTCGGAAACGGTCAAACTAAGTGAAGGCAGCGCAGCTTTCGAAAGGACTAGAAAACGTGAGCCTTCTTCGCCCCCAAACTGTTGAACACTCCCTCGTGAAAAAAAAACGAACCACCCCGAACTCCCTCCGTGCCGCTCCAGCTGACGGCCAGAAGCTCTTCGCGTTTCGGAGCGGGGGGCTTCAGTTCTTAGCCCGAGGAAACGGGAAGGAGCCGTTTAATTAAATTCCAGAACGCTGAAAATAAATAAATAACTTCTCCCCTTAAAACAGCGCAGCACGCGATGTCGTTCTGGTTTCGGGCAGAACCAGAGACTCCCCGTAGGAGACGGGGGAACGTGCTGGTGGCGGTGGTGGAGGGGTTTTGTTTTGTTCTTTTTTGTTCCCATAGCTTCCTGGTTCGGTAAGTGACAGCAATTGCCTTCCAAAATGCTAGAAAATAGACGTATCAAAAAAGCACTTATCTGAGAGCACGAGGCTCACAGAGATTTGCACAGCGTTATCCAATGTGATAATATTCCATCCTCGGTTCATACAGACTTGATATCTTTGGGTCTCCCTGCTAAGCATGGGAAGAGCTTGGAGACTCGTTTATTCACTTACAACACAGACCCCGATCAGCCCTCCAGACAGTTAATTCATTTCGCAGTGTTCGTGGGGCTGCATTTGGTAACGGGTAACGTGTCTCAAGTGGGAAAAGCTGGCATGTATTGATAGCTTAGAGCATTTAACCAAGGACGTGGATTTCTAACATTAGTCTGAGCCCATCTGTACCTCACCTCTGTGCATTTGTATCCACACGGGTGTATGTGTGCATACATAAATGCACACGCTGCCCACCCAGATGGGAACTGTACTCTCAGCTTTGGAAATGTCACCGTGTTAGCACGCTCAGCTTTGCAAACACAGCGTTCCTATTTCAAATTTAATTGTCTGCCTTGGGGAAAAAAAAAAAAAAAAAAAGAAAAAAAAAAGAAGAAGAAAAAACAAAAAAAAAGCAGGCAGATCTGTGCTGTTGGCTCTCCTCCTGCAGAAGGTGCGGCTGCTCGTGCTCCCCAACGGTTCCATGCACTCTGCAGGCACAGGAGCCAGCCCTGACCCACCTGGCAGCTGCTCCTGCTGGAGGCTCGGGAGCTCACCTATCGATAAATCAAGCTGAGTTCTTTCAAAACATGGTTATTTCTTAATCTAGGTAAATCAATGTCAAAAATAACGTCAGGCAAAGGCTTTGCTTTTCAAAGCTTTACATTTCAGCTGGGCGCACTCTGAGGAGCTCACACTACTTTAGAGGCATAATGTTATAATTCATGCCGTGTTCAGAAACAGCTGGCATCGTTTTTCTCAAGCCTAGAAGAAAAAAAAATCCCTCTCAAGCAGAGGCCAAATGTGGGAAATGTCTTCCCAAAAGATAATTGGTTGGAAAGTTCTGAGCATGAAGTTATTGTGGAAACGTGTTAGCAACGTTAGTTTGAGCGGTCACGACCAGGTGCCTGCTGTAATGCTGACAGAGATGTAGCAACTGCCCGCTCCCCTGTACTTAGCTGCTCCAGAAGGGGGAATTTATCCCGAGGCTTTTCTGACCAGCAGGACAGCGTCACAGAACAACGGAGGTGGAAAAAAGCAAATCCCTCATCCAAAGTGACCAGAAGTACCTTTGAAATGCAACCATTGCTATCCGGTTGTTTAAAGGTCACTGACATTTACTCAATAATCACAACACTTGGCTGAGTAGACGGATGATAATTTTGTTTTGAAATCATACTACATTCTACAGACGTAAAGTTTGCAGTCCAGGGCTTCTTCCCCACTGCTGGTCCCACCACTCACTGCAAGCCATACTTGGAACTAAGAATTGACAGCAAAACAGTTGTGTTAACTCCTGAACCACTTCTGGAGCACGAGAGCCCCTCCCTGCAAAGCAAACAGAGATTGTTCCGTTTGCATTTCAGATTAGGCCACCGAGACATGTCCTGGCTTGAAATTCTCCTGAGAAAAAAGAAAATGAAACCACAGTGAAAAATAAACGGGGCTCCATTGTGTCACACAGGTCTTACCCTGCTCTTTAAAAACATGTTACCCTCACCTCCGTGAAGATGTAGGATCAGAGTCCTGTTCAAAACCAAATTAATTAATTATTGAGACTATCAGGAAGTGAGAGTAAAGACTGGTGCAGTCACCAGATGCTCTGATGCTCTTTGCCAGTTTCATTTTCCAGTATCTCAGGAAATATGTTTCATTTGCTTCCCTCTCAAATCTACCAACCCTTTCCATTCAATTTTTCTGCTGGTGTCAGAAGCTTCAAGGAACAATCTCACTGGCCAGCAGCCACTTCCTGCAGCTGAAATTTCTGTTAAATTTCTGCTCTCCAGGTACAGCAGTTCATCACCAGCACTGACATTTGTTGGTTATCCCTCTGGAGAGACACCAGACTGAACCTGAAGTGCTCTCCTTGCAGCCCTCAGGAAGTGCTCAGTGTAAAGAACTCTTTCCTTTACCGTTTCCGGACCAAATCCTACCTCCATATCCCTTCACACCACTTCATATGATGTGGGTATTTGCATAAATCAAAAAATTGCTAAACAGAGCTGTAAGAGTCACTAGACAGAGCAACACATCCTTACAGCAACAGTTTTCTTCTCTCTTGTGCAAATTTATGGAGGTCAATCAGACTAACAATGCAGTCCACACATCCCATCCAGAATTTGTGTTGTTTTATGGTCATGCAGTTCCTCTAAACCTATTTGGTCTGGTTAAAATACAAGATGCAAGCAAATAAAATGTGTAGTGGCAGGGGGGTTGGAGATTCATGATCCTTGAGGTCTCTTCCAACCCTGGCAATTCTGTGATTCTGTGATTCTGTATCTTGAGTAAAACCTGGCTCCCTGTGTGCTTTGTGGCTTTAATTGTTTTAAGCCTTGAAATCAGTGTAACCCTGAGAGGTCCAATTTTTCCTTTCATGAAACATATGTGAGAAAGAGCTTTCCTGAACTGGGTTATTGTGCTGTAAAATCAGCATAGAATCAGGCTTTCTGACTGTCCCTCAAAAATGTTCCGTATTTCTGTGATGGCAATTAACTTTCACCGTGTTTATTTTACAACACAGTACAATCCATATGGGAAGGCTCCTTTGTTCACCAAAACATGCACTATTTTTGAGCTAATTTTCACATCCGATTGGACTAACAACCGAGCTGAAACTTAAGAATACTCTTTCCAAGATTGCTGCTGCTTACACAGAGGGAGCATCGGTGGTTCTCAATCAGCCCAAGGCTCGTCAGCTGCCAGGCAGGGACCGCTTGGAGGTCTGTGAGCTGCCTCCATGGCTTTCCCCAGTAAGCCACTAAAAATCCCAAGGCGAAAGTAGCAAGGAACAAATGCATCACAGAAGGTTTGGATGTCTGCTGGTCTAAAAATTGATGGGAGTTAAAAACCGTGGAGGCAGAGGACAGGTTCTCACTCCAGCTGTATGGCAAATTATCTCACTGTATTACATTCAAACCCACCCAAATGGGTGGGTATTTGTCTTGTAGGAGGAAATTAGCTGCTAATAAGTGCACAATTTTTACTTCTATTCTTTAACACTGAAGACAAGATTCATTTGCTCCTCGCTTTTCTCTCCACAGCTTACTTTTTTTTCTTACTGCATGTTTCCATCACTAACCAATATTCCCTCTAAATACATTTATTTTCTGTTTTTTGAATTACTTTTTTTTTTTTTTAATCTCCTTTTTTGGACAGTCCTTTTTCCTACACACTTTTGCTTTGTTTCAACAGCAGCCCTCCCTCCCATCCCTTTAAACCAGCAGCTTCTCATCTGCTTTCCCCACTTCCCTGTTTCTCTCTCTCTCATGTCTCCATGTCTCCCTGTTCCTTCCCCGTGTCCCTGGATTCCGTCATCCCACTTTTTGTTCCCCTTTTCCACAGATTTTCTCCCATTGGTCATCTGCTCCTCCCCAGATAGCTTCCTAAGTCTAAGTGAATCATTTTGATTTTCTCTTTCTGTCTTTTTTTTGTTTGTTTGTTTGCTTGTTTCTCTGCCAATAAGATGGAGCCAGAGATAATTACATTACCGGAGGGTGCAGCAATTATCAGAAACTTTAATGCCCCAAATTTCTGTGAACTTTCATGGAACTTTAGCGAACTAGATGTTCCATTCCAGAATGGCATTTGTCATTCTTCTGCCCAGTGCTCTGGGGCTGTCTGGAGGCACATTATTCAGATCCCCCCCCTCTGTAGCTGAGAGAGCCTGATGGGCTGACCCAGGCAAGTGCATCTGTCGCTCCTTTCTGCTGAACACTTTCACAGTGTTTTTGTCAGGTGGAGTTGTGCACTGGCATAAGAGCTGCTCACCACAACAGCCTGCAGTTACATTTGTTAATCCAACAACTAACAAAGAAAAGGCATCCCACATTGGGGATCCCACATATGAAATAATCACATCTTAAAACAGGCTGAGTAAAGCAAAATCACCGGTTCTACTGAACAAGAAAAATATTAATTGTGCTCCAGGCAACTGTGAACTACATCTCCCTTACCCAGCCCTTATC